GTCGCCATCAAACACGTCGGGAAGAACAAAGTGACCCACTGGTCCAAGCTGGTAAGTTTTGTGGGGAGGGGGCTTGAGGCAATGATTGGATGTGTGTGTGTGTGGGGGGGGTCATTTAGTTTAGGAGCTAATTCCTAGACTCCACTCGTTAGCTCAGGGTGCTCTTGCTGGTTAATTGCTTCCCCTTTGGAAAGCTCCACCTGATGACTCACGCTGAGTCTGTGTCCTGACTGTGGGCCTGGGGAGGTTAACGAGGGGACAAGCTCAGCAAATTCCCATTGGGGTCCTCAAAACGGCGCTTAGATCCTTGGACAAGGATTTATGCAAATTAAACCCAGACTCCTCCTTTCCGATTGGGTCCAAATAAAGGGGGCGGGTCTATGGGCTGAAGGTGCTTTATCATAGAAATCACTATAACCTCTACTGCCCCCTGCAGCACGGCACCCCCCAGCGCCCGGCCGTAACTGCCAGGACTCCTGGGTTCTCTCCCCGGCCCCGGGATGGGAATGGGATCTAGTGGTTAGGGCAGGGGGAGACTAGGAGCCAGGACACCTGGGTTCTCTCCTTGGCTCTGCAGCATAAGGCCCAGCCTCAGTCTCCCCCCTTTCTCTCTCCCCACAGCCCAGCGGCCTCCGGGTGCCCCAGGAGGTGATGCTGATGAAGCGGGTGTGTGCCAGGGGCGGGCATCGGGGCGTGATCCGCCTGCTGGACTGGTACGAGACCCCTGAGGGGTTCCTCCTGGTGCTGGAGCGGCCCGAGCCCTGCCAGGATCTCTTCGACTACGTGACGGAGCGGGGGCCCCTGGCCGAGGGGCAGAGCCGGCGCTTCTTCCGCCAGGTGCTGGAGGCTGTGGGTCACTGCCACGCCCGGGGGGTGGCACATCGGGACATCAAGGACGAGAACATCCTGGTGGAGCTGCACACCGGCCGCCTCCAGCTCATCGACTTCGGCTCCGGCGCCCTCCTGAGGGACTCGGTCTGCACGGAGTTCGACGGTGCGTAGCCCAGACACCTGGGTTCTCTCCTTGGCTGTGGGAAGGGACTGGGGGCTGGTGGGTTAGAGCTGGGGGGGGAGCTGGGAGCCCGGACGCCTGGGTTCTCTCCCCGCCTCCGGGAGGCAGCCCTGCTAACTTGTGTGCCCCCCCTCCCCAGGCACCCGTGTGTACAGCCCCCCGGAGTGGGTCGGCCTGCAGCAGTACCATGTGCTGCCGGCTGCCGTCTGGTCCCTGGGCATCCTGCTCTACGACATGGCCTGCGGTGACGTCCCCTTCCAGCGGGACGAGGAGATCCTGGCCGCGCAGCTCCACTTCCCGGAGCCCCTGTCTGACGGTGAGCGCCCCCCGCTGGGGCCCTGCCCCCTACGCCCAGCGCTGCCCCCTACGCCCAGCGCTTCCCCCCGCCGGGGCCCTGGGGCCCTGCGTCCCCTACGCCCAGCGCTGCCCCCCTACGCCCAGCGCTTCCCCCCGCCGGGGCCCTGCGCTCCCTACACCCAGCACTGCCCCCTGCTGGCCCTCTGGGGTACTGCGCCCCGACACATTCATCTCCTTTCATTCTTTCACACTCACCCCCCTGTCCAAAATGATTAGTTGGGTGGGGGTTACAGCATTGGTGGGAGGGGTCTGGGAGCCAGGACTCCTGGGTTCTCTCTAACCTCCTTTCTCATTTTCCCCCTGCCCCCCTGCCCCCCAGGCTGCCAGGATGTGATCCGGTGGTGTCTGTCCCCAGAGCCTGCAGACCGACCCACACTGGAGCAGCTTCTCCTGCACCCCTGGCTGCAGCCAGATCCCCAGCTCCAACCAGAGGAGGAGCCACAGAACCCAGCACCCCCTAGGGGCACCGCTGGCAACAGCAGCTGCTGAAAGACTTGGCTTTACCCGGCATCTCCCTGCCGGGATGGGGACCCACCCATGGGGACCACTTCAGCCTAAGGCAGCTGGACCTGTGGCCAGCTGAGATCAGAGTTGACCTGGTTTTACAGGTGTCTAGACCTGGGGATAGAACCCAGGAGTCCTGGCTCCCAGCCCCCAACCACTAAGACCCAACTCCCCTCCCAGAACTGGGGAAAGAACCCAGGAGTCCTGTCTCCCAGTCCCTCCCTCCCTCCCCCCAGTTCTTCCTCCTCCCCCGCTAGAGGTTTGGATTCTGGTCCCTCTTGAGGATCAGCCGTGTCTCTGTACGTGTAAATACTTGTGTATTGCCATGAGCTGGGCTCCCCTCAGTACCAGCCCATGAGGTGGGGATGAGGTTTGGGGGGCTCTAGCCCCCCCCATTTCCAGCCCCTCGTACGCTCCCCAAGGTGTGGCTTACTGGGCTGAGACTGAGGTACCTTATCTAAGCTGCTTAACGGGCCCCGATGCAGGGGACCCCGGTGCCAGCGTGAGATTCAGACCAATTCTGTACAGGATTGAGAGGAAGAAAAATCTATTTAAATAAAAGAGGTTTTATCTTTATCCAGAAAATCCTTATAGAGTCAGTGCTTCCTCTCACTATGCGGAGGTGGGAACCCAGGAGTCCTCACTCTCATCCCTGCCCCAGCTCTAACCCACCAGACCCCAGTCCCCTCTCAGAGCCAGGGAGAGAACCCAGGCATCCTGGCTCCCAGCCCCTCACCCACACTAAAGGTGTAGTTCCAGCCAGCACTCCCGGATCCAGCAGTGACGCACACACACTTACCAGGCGTCCCCTACGTCAGCCCTGTATTTACCTGCCCTGCCCTGCGCACACCTGCTGTGACAACAACCGCGCCCCAACACCTGCCAGCGTTTCATACGCCCGCCCCAGCCACACTCTTCCCAGTCCCAGCTGGGGCTTCAAAGCTCAAGGGGGCAGGGAATGGGGCAGGGGCCTGTCCCCTCTAGGGGGCGCCGGCTCCCATCCGGCCCCAGGGCTGGGCCTGGCTGGCTCAGGGGGGCGGGGAATGGGGCAGGGGCCTGTCCCCTCTGGGGGGCGCCGGCTCCCACCCGGCCCCAGGGCGGGGACTGGCTGGCTCAGGGGGGCGGGGAATGGGGCAGGGGCCTGTCCCCTCTGGGGGGCGCCGGCTCCCACCCGGCCCCAGGGCTGGGCCTGGCTGGCTCGGGGGGATGGGACATGGGGCAGGGGCCTGTCCCCTCTGGGGGGCGCCGGCTCCCACCCGGCCCCCGGGCTGGGCCTGGCTGGCTCAGGGGGGCGGGGAATGGGGCAGGGGCCTGTCCCCTCTGGGGGGCGCCGGCTCCCACCCGGCCCCAGGGCTGGGCCTGGCTGGCTCAGGGGGGCGGGGAACGGGGCAGGGGCCTGTCCCCTCTGGGGGGCGCCGGCTCCCACCCGGCCCCAGGGCGGGGACTGGCTGGCTCAGGGGGGCGGGGAATGGGGCAGGGGCCTGTCCCCTCTGGGGGGCGCCGGCTCCCACCCGGCCCCCGGGCGGGGCCTGGCTGGCTCAGGGGGATGGGACATGGGGCTTGTGCCCTGCAGCTGACATGGCCGGTCTCTTTTGGCACGCTGCGGTGCCCAGAGGCAATTACCCCGTCCACGGGCTCCCCTGAAATGCACCCTGGCCCCCCGCTGCCCCCGAGCCGTGTGGTGGGAGAAACCAAACCACGGAGCTGGGGGCTGGAGGGGAGCCCAGGGGACGGGTTGCTGCCCCAGGGGTGTGTGCTCTGGGGCTGGAACCCAGGAGTCCGGGCTCCCACCCTGCGCCAGGGAGAGAACCCAGGAGTCCGGGCTCCCGGTCTAACCACTAGCCGCCCCGGCTCTCAAGGGTCCGCCCACTGGGGCTCCGCTCTAGCCAGCCCCCTTGCACTCTATGGTCCTCGCGCTCCGCTCTAGCCCGCCCCCCGCTCTCTATGGTCCGCCCGCTCGCGCTCCGCTCTAGCCCGCCCCCCGCTCTCTATGGTCCGCCCGCTCGCGCTCCGCTCTAGCCCGCCCCTGCTCTCTATGGTCCGCCCTCTCGCGCTCCGCTCTAGCCCGCCCCCCGCTCTCTATGGTCCGCCCGCTCGCGCTCCGCTCTAGCCCGCCCCCCGCTCTCTATGGTCCGCCCGCTCGCGCTCCGCTCTAGCCCGCCTCTCGCGGTGGGGCCGGAAGCGGAAGTGGAGATGCGGAAGTGGCGGCGGGGCGGGGTCCGGGGGTTGCCGGGCAGTTGCCACCATGGCAGCGGCGGGGGGGGCTGGCAGCGGCGGGGACCAGGAGGCAGCGGGGGGTGAGACCTTGGGCCGGGGGGGCAGGCTCCGGGGGGGTGCTCTGGGGGCCGGGGGGGGCAGGCTCCGGGTGGGGGGGGCTCCGGGGGCCGCAGGCTCCGGGGGGGGGCTCTGAGGGCCGGGGGGGTGCTCTGGGGGCCGGGGGGGGCAGGCTCCGGGTGGGGGGGGCTCCGGGGGCCGCAGGCTCCGGGGGGGGGCTCTGAGGGCCGGGGGGGTGCTCTGGGGGCCGGGGGGGGCAGGCTCCGGGGGGGGGCTCTGGGGGCCGGGGGCTGGTGCGGGGAGCTCCGGGGCTCCAGGGGGGGAGCTGATGCCAATGGGGGGCTCAGGACTGGGAGGGAAGTGGACATGGGAAGGCGGGGGGGGGCAGTGGGCAGTGCAGACGGGGTGGGTCACTCCTGGTGATGGGGGGCAGACACCGGTGTGGGAGGGGTAGATACCTGGGGGAGTCCCTGGCCTTGCGGGGTGGGGGGAGTTTGTGGGGAAAGGGCTCGTGCTGCCGTGGGGAGATGCCGGGGGCAGGGGGTTGATGGGGGAGCAGATGATGTGGGGAGGGGGACACACTGAGGAACGGGGCGGGGGAGCAGGGGGAGACGCTGGGAGGGGGAGGGGTGGATGCAGGGGAAGGCGGCGGGGGGGAGCCCTGGGAGGGGCAGACACTACAAAGGGGGGTGGTTGAGACACCGGGACAGCATGGGAGCAGTGGGGTCTGGGAGTGGGGCAGGGGGTGGAGTTGGGAAGACCAGGGAATTGCTGCTGCTGAAGGGGGAGCGTGTGGGGTTGGCCATACACAAAGGGGGGTGTCTGGTGTACAAGGGGGAGCTCTGGCCCCATGATGAGCGGGGTGGGTTGTACAAAGGGGAGACTCCCTGCAGAGAAAGACGGGGTGGGGAATGGGATTTCCTGCTCTTCTCCCCACTCGGAGGCGGGATCCAAGGGCCTTGAGAAGGAGCAGCAGAGTCAGAAGGTGTACTCTGGTAGGATAATAGGTATAGGATGATAGGTAGACTTTTAAGAAGCTGTTGGGGGCGCTGTGTTGCAGGGCGGGGAGCTCGGCAGGGGCCTCTCCCCCGGCAGCCAGCGCTGGCCCCAGGGCCGATCTGCGATTCTGTTGGATGACAGATCCCCCTATGTATCCTTTCCTCAATTGTTGTGCACTGTTATGTGTAGCTGTTCCCCAGCTGCTCCACCCCAGAGGCAGCTGCGTCTCTGTGCTGCGTGAGCCATTTCCGGCATAGCCAGCTGGATTTCCCTCTTATGGTAGCCCTGGGCCAGCCTGACCATTCCTTGGATTGGAATGCAGTCAAGGGACGGAAATTCCCCACCCTTTTCTCATGTTTCCTGGTTTGACTCCGGACAGGTGTGTGTTTGCTTAGCCAGGTGCAGCAGGAAGCCAGTTGCTTAGCTGCAACTGGTTCCCTTCAGCTGATGCCAAAATCCCCCCTGGGCACCTGAAGTGCTGCCAGTCTGGGTGCCGGTCTTTCATCCAGGGCTCCTGAGTTGAAATTAGCTGCAATCAGTCACGCCGGGAAGCAACATTTAGATCAGATTGTGGGCCCACCTACCCGGTGTCCTGCCTCTGACCAGAGAAATCCTTGTCTCCCAGCTCCCAAGAGCTACTTGGTCCCCTCCCCAATGGGCGAAAATCTTTGGTGGTTGTTGACAGTTTCTATTATGGTAGGGTCTACAGTCAAACTTCCACTGCACTAGGCGTTAATTGTTTCAATTACAGTTGGGTCACCGTGCAGATTTCCATGGTGTTAGGGGCTGTACAGACACAGGGTAGAAAGCCCCGTCGCAGAGCTGAGGTTTTTCATTTCATTGTAACGTCTCTGGTGGCTGAGCGGGGAGCTCATTGGCTGTAAACAGGAGGAGAAAGACTGGGTTCATCGGGATGCTGGAGCTGGGGAAAAAGGCCCCGGGGTGTCTCCAGCCAAGATCGGAACATATGAACGACGAGGGCCTCCTCCGGACTCCTGTGTGCTATTCTGGGCAGCCCGCATCTGAAGGAAAAAAGTGGGCAGAGGAAGGCTGATCAGGGGAGCAGTGAGCCGATCTCACCATGGGCCTAGTTGGCCTAGCTGAGCTGAAAACACAGGCTGACGAGGGTGGGGTTGAAGCACCAGGGGAAAGAGCTACTGACGCTAAGTGACAACCCTGGCACGAGAAGAAATGGGGACAAACTGGCCAGGCAGTGATTGAGGCTGAAAATAAGTGTTGAACCACCTGAGGGAGAGGGCGAGCTGTCCCTGTGCAGCGTTATGTGCGGCTGTTCCCCAGCTTCCCTGTCCCAGAGGTGGCTGCATCTCAGTGCCGCGAGCCATCCCCCTGCACGTTGTGTGTGGTTGTTTCCCAGCTGTCCCGCCTCAGAGGTGGCTGCATCTCAGCGCCGCGAGCTCCCTGAATGCATCCCGCGTGTGGTGGGGCCAGGAGGGGGAAGTCTGCCTTCTACATGTGCAGTGGATCAGTGTGCAAGGGGAGGGGGGCGTGGGATTTTGGCATTGGGGTATTGGCTGGGTGCAGCGTTGCAGGGAAGGAGTGTGTGTGAAAGGCCATGGGGGGTCTGATGGGGAGAGGGGGATGCCAGGCTGGCTGCTCTGGGTCTGACCCGTCCCCATCCCGGCAGGGAACCATCGGTTGAAGTACATCAGCCTGGCGGTGCTGGTGGTCCAGAATGCCTCGCTCATCCTGAGCATCCGCTACGTGCGAACCCTGCCCGGGGAGCGCTTCTTCGCCACCACGGCCGTGGTCATGGCTGAGCTCCTCAAGGGAGCCACCTGCCTGCTGCTCATCTTCCTCCAGAAACGAGGTAGCGGGGACTGGGCTGTGGAGAGTGGGCAGGGGGCTGGGTCGGGGGCGCTCTCCCCTGGCAGGCCGGGCTGGGCACTGGGAGGTGCTGTAGGGCAGGGGGCTGGGTAGGGGGCGCTCTCCCATGGCAGTCCGGGCCGGGTGCTATAGGACAGAGGTTGAGTAGGGGGTGCTCTCCCCTGGCAGTCTGGGCCGGGCTGTGGGGAGTGGGCGGAGGGCTGGGTCCGGGTGCTCTCCCCTGGCAGTCTGGGCCGGGCGCTGTAGGACAGAGGCTGGGTAGGGGGTGCTCTCCCCTGGCAGGCCGGGCCGGGCTGTGGGGAGGGGGCAGGAGGCTGGGTAGGGGGCGCTCTCCCCGGCAGTCTGGGCTGGCAGGGGCGCCGTGCCGTGCCAGGCAGACCGGTGAGCCGTCCCTGGCACTCTCTCTGCCCGCAGGCAACGTGAAGCAGTTCGCCCTGTTCCTGTACGACGCCGTGGTGCTGCAGTACATGGATACGCTGAAGCTGGCGGTGCCCTCGCTGATCTACACGCTGCAGAACAACCTCCAGTACGTTGCCATCTCCAACCTGCCGGCAGCCACCTTCCAGGTGGGACCCCAGCCCTGATGCCGGGCTTGATGGGTCCGTCGGTGTGACCGGGGGATACCGGGTGGTGGGTCCTATGTGGGACTGGGGGAGGATCTGTGGGTTGGCAGGCAGTCAGGAGGGGATGCCAGCCTGGCCCCCCGCCATTCTGACCTGCCTTCCCGCCGCCCCGCAGGTCACCTACCAGCTGAAGATCCTGACCACGGCCATCTTCTCGGTCCTGATGCTCCGCAAGAGCCTGTCACGCCTGCAGTGGCTGTCGCTGCTCCTGCTCTTCTCCGGCGTGGCCATCGTCCAGGTGGAGCAGGGCCAGGCGGGCGGGCAGAGCTCCCCGGGCACAGCCCGCCAGAGCTACGTGGTTGGGCTGGTTGCCGTGGTGGTCTCCTGCCTCTCCTCGGGCTTCGCCGGCGTCTACTTCGAGAAGATCTTGAAGGGCAGCTCGGCCTCCGTCTGGCTGCGCAATGTACAGCTGGGCATCTTCGGGACCCTGCTGGGGCTGCTGGGCATGTGGTGGGCCGAGGGGGCAGCCGTGGCCGCCCAAGGCTTCTTCCATGGCTACAGCCCAGTGGTGTGGGGCGTGATCCTCAACCAGGCCTTCGGCGGCCTCCTGGTGGCCGTGGTGGTGAAGTACGCGGACAACATCCTCAAGGGCTTCGCCACCTCGCTCTCCATTGTGGCCTCCACCGTGGCCTCCATGCACCTCTTCGGCTTCCGCCTGCACCCGCCCTTCGTCCTGGGGGCGGGGCTGGTCATCGGGGCCGTCTACATGTACAGTCTGCCCAAGGCTGGGCCGCCCCTGGGCCCCCGCAAGGAGCCCACTACCCCGCTGCCCCTTGGCAAGGAGCACAGCGAGCCGGGCTACCCGCCCAAGTCAGTGCTGGTTGAGTGAGGTCTGCAAGGGGGTGGGTTGGGGGGGGTCTCTCCTGCACCCCTTCTCTGGGCTGTGAGCCCCTCCATAGCCTCTCCCTGACCTACACCTGCCCTTAACGCCCCACATCTCTCTGCCCCTCCTTCTACCTTGGCTTCCCCCCCAAGTCTCTCTCACTTGACAGCTCTTTGGGGAGAAGCATGTCCCCCTTTTCCACCCCCATCCAATCATTCAACTGCTGCTCCCCCATATAACCTTGTCTCCTCCCAAGCCAGTCACTTTCCTAGACCCGCCCCATATCTGTCCTCCACCCTGCTCCAGCTCAGACCCTATTCCCCTCTCCTGGGTCAGGATGACTGACACCCCCCCCCCCTTTGGCCCAGGAGAGGCATTTAGGTGCACACTACAGGGGGGAGAGACCCTGATTCTCGTCCCCCCAAGCTGAGGAGGGTCGGCAAATGGATTGAGCCAGAGAATTATTTTTGTACGATCCCGAAGCAGCCCCGATGGATGGAGCATCAAGACGGGGGGGCGGGAGGGACCCCCCAGGAATGGCTCGGCCGTACCAAGCTGACACGTGGAGGAAGGACTCGCCACCATTCCAAAGGGTGATGGTTCACCCGGGCAGCGTGGGAGTGCTGCCCCCTGGATTCCCCACAGCACTCCCTTTTGCTGAGTACTCTCAAGCCCAGCCCCCCACCATGTTAAATCATGGGGGAGGGACTGGGAGCCAGGACTCCTGGATTCTCTCCCTGGATCTGGGAGGGGAGTGGGATCTAGTGGTTAGAGCAGGGGGAATGGGAGCCAGGACTCCTGGGTTCTATTCCTGGCTTTAGGAGTGGAGTGGGGTCTAGTGGTTAGAGCCGGGGGGCTGGGAGTCAGGACTCGCTGTCTGTAAATTTCAGCTGAGTCCCTCCTCCAGCTTTGTGCCTCGGTTCCCCTGGGTGTTCCAGGACGCTGAGCTGCCCTGGCTCCATGTTTCTGCAGCTCCTTGGGGCTCGGCTGGGTGGGAGCAAACGGCTGCGGCCTGCCATTAATTACTAATCAATATTTCCCTGTCGGGAGGCGGCGTCCCTGGGCAGGCACATCCCGGTGGCAGTGGGAACAGAAGCCGCTGTTGGTACCACACAGCGGGGAGCAGCCGGTGTGAATGTGCATCATCCGCGGGACTCCACTGCAAACCCCTTCCCACCAGCTGCGGGGCTGGCCCCAGTGACTCTATGGAGCAACGGCCGATGGACACGTTGGGGGCTGGCCCATACCTGAGACAATGAGATACATTTTAAGTGTCACTCTACCCTATGCTGCTGTTGAGGGGTGGGGCTGGGAGCCAGGACTCCTGGGTTCTATCCCCTGCTCTGGGATGGGAGTGGGGTCTAGTGGGTTTGAGTGGGGGGGGGGGCTGGGAGCCAGGACTCCTGGGTTCAATTCTCAGCTCCATCCCTCTCTCTGCCTCAGTTTCTCTCCCTCCCCCAAAGCCAGGGGGAGTGCTGCTTTGCCAAGGGGCCAGCTGGCTGTGTTTTTCGGGGGGGGGGCACTCCTGCTGGGGCACTAACACTGCACATAGATGCTGGGTGACACATTTTGTACGGACGGGGGGGTGGTGGTTTTTTTAAACGCCTGTAACCCTGGCGGCCGCTGTCCTGTCTGTGCAGAGCCGCCGCACAGAATAAAGAGACTGTATTTATTTAGCTGCCGTGCTCGGTGATTGACATGGGGGGACGTGTATGTGTGTGGGGGGGAGTCCTAGGATTCGTGTGAGTGCAGACCTCTAACCCTACTAACAGCTGGAGAATGGGCCATGTCCCCTCTAGGGGGTGCCGGATCCCACCTAGCTGCAGGGGCAGTTCAGGGGGGCAGGGAATGGGGCATGGGCACCTCCAGGGGGCGCCGGCCAGGTGAGGGGGGGCAGGGGATGGAGCATGGGGCCTGTCCCCTCTAGGGGGCGCTGGCTCCCATCTGCTCCAGGGCAGGGACTGGCTGAGTCAGGGAACGGGGTCCGGGGCCTGTCCCCTCTGGGGGATGCTGGCTCTGCTCCTGCGGGAAGTTTGCCAGGTCTCAGCCCAGTCCTGCTACAGCAGCTTCCCCCAGGCAGGGAAATACCCGGCTCCCGCAGCTGAGATCCCCCCCAGTTCTCCCAGGGCTGGGTGCCAAGTGTGGGGTGGGGGTGACTACAACACTGCCCCCCAGCCAGTCAACCCCCCCAACCCCAGCACAGAGCCATGTTCAGTAGTGGTATTATCTCCCGCTGGAGCCTCCCCGGAGATTGGGAAGTCTCCATGGGAAGGGCCCTGCCTAGACCTCCACAGACAGTGATCAGAGCCGCCCCCTTCCCCAGCTGAGATCTCAGCCCCTCATTGGGCCAGACACTGCCCAGACCCAGAGGGAGAGACATTCCCTACCGCCAACAGCTTCCAGTTGAAATAGACAAAGGTCACATTGGCAGCAGTGGGGAAACTGAGGCACAGAACGGCCTTTCCCAGCAGCACCCAGAGATGGGCTAGGAGGCCGGAGCCCCAGGGAGGGACTGGCTGGCTGGCAATGTGGGGGAGATAGGAAGTGGACATGGGGGCCTGCCCCTCTAGGGTGGGCCACCTTCCATCTGGCCCCAGACGGAGGGGGGGAATGGGGCACAGAGCCCCACTGTCCCTCTTGTACTCTTCGCTACTAGCAATGAAAGTGGGGTGCTGGGGGATAGTTTCTTAATAGCCCTGAGTTCCTACAGCTGGGGGAGGGGGAAGTCATAGGGTGTGGGGGAAGCTGGGGCACTCCAGGGTGCCGCATCAACTACTGGATTGTGGGATGGGGTGGGGAAGGCTGGGAGCCAGGACTCCTGGGTTCTCTCCCCAGCTCTGGGAGGGCAATGGTGTCTAGTGGCTAGAGTGGTGGGGGAGGGCTGGGAGCCAGGCGCAGGGGGTCTACCCTCTCTCTGGGCTCCAGCTCCCCGAGTCCAACCATTCCTTTTTCTCTCTTGCAGGCTGGCGTGTAAGGAGAAGGGATCCTGAGTGAGGCAGTGACTGGGGGGGCGTGATGGTCACCTCGTCTCCAAACATCCAGCCCCGTCTTCGGCGAGGGGGCCCCTCTGCCCTGCCCCAGAGGTGGCTGCATCTCGGTGCCGGGTGAGGCAGCCTGGGATCCTGCCAGCATCTTTCAGAAAGAAGAGATGCAGTGGAAGGGTAGGGCTGGGCGCCAAGACTCCTGGGTTCTCTCCCCCGCTCTGGGAGGGGAGTGGGGTCTGATGGGTTAGAGCTGGGGGGGCTGAGAGTTCCACCTCACTGCCATTTCCTGCTTCACCCTGCCTCAGTTTACCCTTGCGTAAAAGGCAGGCAGCCATTCCTAGGTCCCAGAAGGGGATGCGCCCCCTCACAGCGTGGCCAGTCCCCCTCGCTCAAGTCCCCCAGTGCTTGGGGGGGGGGGGCGCGGGGGGGCACCCAGGCATGAACCGCTCAGTATTAATGTCCCCTGGGGCAGCCGTGTGGAACCCCCAGTTTTTATCACTCCCCTTGTGGCCTTTTCTATTTATTATCCAACATGGATTTTGACACTAAGTCACGTGTGTCCTGTCATCTGTGGGGCTGCAAGACACCTGGGTTCTCTCCCCAGCTGTGGGAGGAGAATGGGGATCTGGTGGTTAGAGCAGGGGGGGCTGGGAGCCAGGACTCCTGGGTTCTCTCCCAGCTCTGGCTCGAGGACCCAGAGAAATACATTTTGTGTGACCCTCACTAGAAATTCAGGGGGTGGGAGAGTTTCAGGTTGTAGAGCAGGAAATCGAGGCAGAGGAAAGGGGGGGTTCCAGTTCTCTTTGGGGGGGGCTACCAGCCCCCAACCATGCTTCCCCCCAATGTAGAGCAGAAGACACATCACGGGGAGGTCCCCAACCCCCCCGTGGCTTTGCCAATCTTTCCCTCCCGCTCCACACACCACCCCATGCAGCAGGCTTGGAAAAACCCGCTCTCTGCCCCCCGGACACCTGGTTTCTCTGGCAGGGGCAACCCATCGCCCCTGCTGGGGGGCGGAAGTACGGCAGCTCGCTGGGGAGAGGACAGCAGAAGTGGCAGGGAGCGGAGAACCAGCCCTGTCAGCCGGGGAGAGCACCCCCTGCAGGCCGGGCACACACTGCGGTCGGTCCAGCTGCATCTCTCCAGGTTTATTACAGAGGGGGGGCGGGGATGTCAGTCCTGTTGCTTGGCGCGGGAGGCCTCGGCATTGGCCCGCAGCACGGCGCCCGGGCTGGGGTACGGGCGCTGTTGGAACAGGGGCCCGGCCGCGGTCGTGTCGGCCCCTGTCTTCGCCTCATTGCGCTTGGGCAGCCCCGTCGACCACGTGCCCCTGCGGGGGGGTGCGCGCAGGTCAGTGCAACAGCCCCCAGGTAGGCCCCGCCCACTGCAATAGACTCCACCCCTTAGTCCCCCTCTCAGCTCCTCCCCCACAGCCCGCCCCACCATAATAGGCCCCTCCCCCAAACTCCTTCCCCTCTGTAACCCCCTCCCTTGGCCCCTCCCCCACCTGCTACTCCCTCTCCAACCCCCCCCCAAGCCACACTGTGGGACTACAGCCCCCCTCCCACCACACCCCCCGCGGCGGGGGGGGGGGGGAAGGGGCAGCAAGATCTCACCGTGGGGCGTCCGAGTAGGCGCTGGGGTCCATGGGGTCTAGCTCCTCGTCCTTGCGGCTGCCTGGGGAGGGAAAGGCAGGGGGAGGGAGAGACCCTGCTAAGTTGAGTGCTCCCCCAAAGCCCCGCCCCCCCAAGTCCAGATACAACCCCATCCCCCCAGGAACTAATTCACCCCCTTCCCCTCCTCACTCATCCCTCTTTGCCCCCCATGTCTCTGCTCCCCACCCTGGGCTCAGCCCCACCCTCTCCAGGATGTTGTGGCACCCCCATCCTCCCTGTCCCCCCACGCTGGCAGGGATCCAGCTGCATCCCTCGCCCCCCCCCCCCACACACACACGCACTTTTCTTGGTTTTGGGATATGGCGCCAGCTCCTCCCGGCGATGGTAACGCCGCTCCTTCACCTCCTCGCGCTCGGGCTTCTCGTAGGGGCGCTCGGGCTTCTCGTCAGCCTCTGGGGGAGACACACACACAGCTCCTGAAGGAACCCCGGCGTCCGGGCCCCTCCGCCCTGTCCCAGTCTAAGCCCCTGGACCCCATGCCCTGCCCAGAGCTGGGGACAGAAGCCCAGGAGTTCTGAATCCCAGCCCCCTCCCCCCCCTTTACCTAGGCTGTTTTTCAACTTCTTAGCTGCTTTGGTGATGATGGAGCTGGGGTCGTTGGGAGAGAGCCAGGAGACCAGGTCGTTCTCCATGTTCCAGTAATAGGGAAGACCGCTGGAGGGCAGGGGGAGACAGAGTAGATTCACCTGCTGTTATAGCACGCACGCTGAGATGCAGCCACCTCTGGGGCAGGACAGCTAGGGAACAGCCGCACATAACACCGCCCAGGGATGATCAACCTTACCAGATGGGGTCGAACACTTTATACCAGTTGGGTGGCAAGTTCTCGATTCTGGTGGCTTCGTAATCCACGTGGTCGTCATCGTAATCCTCCGCGATGACCTCCTCCTCGGGCTCTAAGGACACCATGGGTCAGAGAACCCCCTCCGCGGATCCCTACCCCATGGTGCCCCTTAGTGCCGGGCCCTGCCTGCCAGGGAGAGCTCCCCCGGCCCCAGTGCCCGGCCCCACGGTGCCCCGCCCAGCCCTGCTCCCTGCCCCACGGCGCCCCTTAGTGCCGGGCCCTGCCTGCCAGGGAGAGCTCCCCCGGCCCCAGTGCCCGGCCCCACGGCGCCCCTTAGCGCCGGGCCCTGCCTGCCAGGGAGAGCTCCCCCGGCCCCAGTGCCCAGCCCCAGAGCGCCCGGCCCCAGAGCGCCCCGCCCAGCCTTGCTCCCTGCCCCACGGCGCCCCTTAGCGCCGGGCCCTGCCTGCCAGGGAGAGCTCCCCCGGCCCCAGCGCCCGGCCCCACGGAGCCCCTTAGCGCCAGGCCCTGCCTGCCAGGGAGAGCTCCCCCGGCCCCAGCGCCCGGCCCCACGGAGCCCCTTAGCGCCAGGCCCTGCCTGCCAGGGAGAGCTCCCCCGGCCCCAGTGCCCGGCCCCAGAGCGCCCCGCCCAGCCCTGCTCCCTGCCCCATGGCGCCCCTTAGCGCCGGGCCCTGCCTGCCAGGGAGAGCTCCCCCAGCCCCAGCGCCCGGCCCCACGGAGCCCCTTAGCGCCAGGCCCTGCCTGCCAGGGAGAGCTCCCCCGGCCCCAGCGCCCGGCCCCACGGCGCCCCCCAGCCCCGCCCCACGGAGCCCCTTAGCGCCAGGCCCTGCCTGCCAGGGGGAGCTCCCCCGGCCCCCGCGCCCGGCCCCACGGCGCCCTGCCCAGCCCTGCTCCCTGCCCCACGGCGCCCCTTAGCGCCGGGCCCTGCCTGCCAGGGAGAGCTCCCCCAGCCCCAGCGCCCGGCCCCACGGAGCCCCTTAGTGCCAGGCCCTGCCTGCCAGGGAGAGCTCCCCCAGCCCCAGCGCCCGGCCCCACGGAGCCCCTTAGCGCTGGGCCCTGCCTGCCAGGGAGAGCTCCCCCGGCCCCACGGCATCCCCCCCAGCCCCGCTCCCTGCCCCACGGAGCCCCTTAGCGCCGGGCCCTGCCTGCCAGGGAGAGCTCCCCCGGCCCCAGCGCCCGGCCCCACGGCGCCCCCCAGCCCCGCCCCACGGAGCCCCTTAGCGCCAGGCCCTGCCTGCCAGGGAGAGCTCCCCCGGCCACCACGGAGCCCCTTAGCGCCGGGCCCTGCCTGCCAGGGGGAGCTCCCCCGGCCCCCGCGCCCGGCCCCACGGCGCCCCCCAGCGCGCGGGTGTCTCGCACGCACCGGGCTCCACGTGCTTGAGGAGGCCTCTCTTGGCCAGGCGGGACTGAAGCGCCACCGGCAGCGGCATCTGGAGCGGCCCAACCTGGGGGGAGGGGAAGCGTCAGTTGGGGGGATCCGGGCTCGCCCCCGCCCCGGCCTGTCCCCCCCCGCGCCCCCGGGGAGACCTGCCCCTCCCCCCCGGGGAGACCTGCCCCTCCCCCCCGGCCTGTCCCCGCGTCCCACCCTCCCCCGGGGAGACCTGCCCCTCCCCCCCGCATCCCCCCCCCGGCCTGTCCCCGCGTCCCACCCTCCCCCGGGGAGACCTGCCCCTCCCCCCCGGGCTCCCCCCCCCGGCCTGTCCCCGCGTCCCACCCTCCCCCGGGGAGACCTGCCCCTCCCCCCCGGGCTCCCCCCCCCCCGGCCTGTCCCCGCGTCCCACCCTCCCCCGGGGAGACCTGCCCCTCCCCCCCGGGGAGACCTGCCCCTCCCCCCCGGGCTGTCCCCGCGTCCCACCCTCCCCCGGGGAGACCTGCCCCCTCCCCCCGGGCTCCCCCCCCCCGGCCTGTCCCCGCGTCCCACCCTCCCCCGGGGAGACCTGCCCCTCCCCCCGGGGAGACCTGCCCCCTCCCCCCGGGCTGTCCCCGCGTCCCACCCTCCCCCGGGGAGACCTGCTCCCGCCACGGCCCCTCCCCCACCAGTCTCCGTCCGGTCGCTCCACTCCCTAGGCTGCCCCTAGACCCTCCAGCCACACACGTGACACACTCGGGCCAATCAGCGGCCTCGCCTTCGCCTCTCGCTCACCTAAGTCCACAGCCAACTTGCCCCCACCGCCCCGCCCATGTGACAGGCTCCGGCCAATGGGAGGGAGAGAGGCGGTGTCGTCACGCTTCTCCTTTTCCGGCTGGCCAATCGGAAGGATAGAGCAGAGGTCCGAAGACAACCAATCAGAGTGAAGATCTGATTATCACGTGATACCCAGGGGCCGGTGAAAAGGAGCATCGCAGATCACGTGATCGCAGAAGAGCCAATAGAGAGGCGGAATCCCCTCGTCACGTGCTCAGAGGGCCGGAAAAGTGGGATCTCCTCCGCCACGTGACTCCAACTGACCAATCAGAGCTGAGACCCCTCCCGGCGCCTTTTTGTGACGTGTGGCGGGACAAACACACGTGATCCCAGCTGCCCAATAAGAGGCCGCGGGGGACTCTCACCCGTTACGTTAGGGGCGGGACAAGGGGGTGGAGCGGTGTACCGCACCCACGTGACCGCGCGGTCGCGGCTTGGAGCTATGGAGGAATATGCCCGGGAGCCCTGGTGAGCGGCCGGGACCGGGGTCAGCCTCCCCCCGCGCGGGGCACTTGGTACCGCCCGGCGGGCGAGCCCACTGGGAGGGGAATTGGTCTCTTCCCCGTGGCAGGGGCCTGAGGGCCGCTACGTTAGGAGAAGGAGGGGGAGGTGACTGGCGGGTCTAGAGCGGGGCCTCCCCCCGCGTGTTTGGTCCCTTGGTAGCTCCCAGCCAATTGGGTGGTCGAGTCCATTGGGGGAGCAGTGGAGGGGGAGGGACCCCTGTCCGCAATGGACTTGCCTATCGCCCCATTGACACCCCTATTCGTGGTCACTTGGTATGTCCCTGCCCTTTGGTGTCTATGGGCGGGCGAGTTCATTGGGGGGAGAAATGGGGGGGCGGCGGAAGAAAAGGGCCTGTCCCCCGACCTTTCCTCGGCTCCATGGGCTGGGAGATACCAAGTCACCATAGTAGGGCGGGTTGGGAAATACCAAGAGCACAAGAATGGAAGGGGTGTTTGTACCACGTGGTATTGGCAGGGCAGGGCAGGGGGGGTTATTATTGTAGGGCCCATTGCGGTGCACGGGGAATTGTTGTTGTAGGGTCTCTTCTCGCTGGTGGCGTGGCGGGGGAGGGGAGGGGATGGGGCGCGTGAGGCGAGGTCGGTGCTGGCTGGGCGGGGTGGTTGTAGGGTTGGCCGCGGGAGGGGATTGTTATTGTAGGGTCTCTTCTCTCCGGCTTGCTGCTGGTCCGTGGGCGGAGGAATTATTTACCGTAGGGTCGGCCGTCCCAAGGGGAGGGGGGCTATCCCGGGGTCGCTCTCGTGGGGTTGGCAGGGATCTGTAGGGTTCCCACCCCCGGGCTTGTTGTAGGGTTTCTCCCCGGTTTGTTTGTCAGGTCTCCCAACCTGGCTAACCAGCTCCCTTCTCTTCCGGCAGCCCATGGCGCATCGTGGACGACTGTGGTGGTGCCTTCACCATGGGGATGATCGGTGGGGGGGTCTTCCAGGCTGTCAAGGGCTTCCGGAACGCCCCCGTGGTGAGTCCCACCCTCCGTCATCAGCTGGACCCAGGCTCTGGATTCTGTTGATGTGATTCTCTTCTTTCTGGTGGCTCTGGGCCCTCCTGGCTGGGGTGGGCCACACGCCTGAGGGGTGGCTCCCTGATCGCTATTGGGGGAGGGGAGAATTGGAGAGCCATGCAGCATCTCACCCCAACTCTTCCTCTGTTGCTTTCCCTCCTAGGGCGTCCGACACCGATTCAAAGGGAGCGTCAGTGCCATCCGCATCAGAGCGCCGCAGATTGGAGGTGAGGGGGGATGTTGTGTGGGGGAGGCAGGCGGCATGGGGAGCCTGGGTCGGGGGGATCCCAGCAGCCGGGGAGGGGACTGAGGTGTATCTAATCGCCACTCCCTCCTTTCCCCAGGTAGCTTTGCTGTCTGGGGGGGCCTTTTCTCCACCATTGACTGCGGCCTGGTGAAGATGAGGGGAAAGGAAGATCCCTGGAACTCAATCACCAGTGGGGCCCTCACAGGGGCCGTGCTCGCCTCCCGCAGTGAGTGTCCTGTGCAGCGCCCCTGCTGGTGGCCCCCCTGTCCGATTTCTCCCTGCCCCCCCCGCTGCTTGGCCCTGACTGCCAGGGGAGAGCGGCCCCCTGCCAGGCGCCCCTATCTCTTTTTAATACATCTCTTCTTTTTCCCAGGTGGCCCGTTGGCCATGGTCGGCTCAGCCATGATGGGAGGGATTTTACTGGCCTTGATAGAAGGAGTCGGGATCTTACTCACCAGATATACGGCACAGCAATTCCAGAACTGTAAGGATTGGCTGGGCTAGCAGGGGCTGTGGGTCAGGAGTGAGGCGCACCGGCAGACCTGGGGCGAGCCCAGGGCTGGGCTGGCAGGGGGCTGCGGGTTGGGAGGGAGGAGCACTGTGGGGGGCAAGGCTGGGCGAGCAGGGGGCTGCAGGCTGGGAGTGCGGAGCGCTGGGGGGGGCTGAGCTAGCAGGGACTGCAGATCACAATGAAGGAGCTCCAGCCTTGGCAGCTGTATTTCAACACTGGTCAGGCTGTCCCTGTGTGGGGCTGTTCCCAAGCTGCCCCACCCAGAGGTGGCTGCATCTCTGCCTTCTCACTAATAGTTTTGTTCTCCCCCCACCAGCTAACCCTTTCGGTGAAGACCCCAGTCAGCTGCCCCTGAAGGACAGCCCAGCGCCTCCAGGATACCCGGGCTACGGACAATATCAATGAAGCTCTTTGTACTTGGGGGTCCCCTCTATTTTGGGGGGTGGCAGCTGCAGCTAGTTCGCCCCTCCCCCTTGCTGGTGCTCAGGATGTGATTCCAGCAACTTGTCCCTCCAGTTCTCGGATTCTCCCCAAGGAGGCAATCCTGAATGGGCTTGTGGAGGGGAGAGGGGTTTGCTGGGAGCCCCTCTAAATTTGCATATTTGGGGGGGAGCTTGGCGTGGGGGCTGGGGATTATGGGGCAGGGGATTGTTCTGTATTTCCTTGCTACTACAGTATACACTGGGGGGTTAGCATCTGCTCTCAGTGGGGAGCCTCCTTTTTGGAGCTCCCCCCCCCCATTCTGTTTGGAAGTGCTCCTATTTCCAGCTTAAAAATAGAGTTCAATACATGCCTGAAAGGGCACGAGGTGGCTGTATCACCCTGTTTAGCTGGGGTGAAACTTAGGGGGGCTGCAGGGTTATAGATGATGGGGTGCTCCCAGCCTTGCACTGGGGGTGCCTATCTTATGGCAGCCCCCCGAACCTTGTAGTGACACGGAGCCTCAGTGTTAGAGGTTTCCCGGCATCCCTGCTCCTGAGATGGGGGGCTGGGGAGAGGCATCTCTTGGAATGAAGCTACGTGGGTCTCTTGAAATAAATATGACCTAAAACAGTATACCCTTGGGCTGTCCTGCCTCTTCTCCCCCCCGCCCCCCCCCAAGGGGTGTGATCTCCATTTTCATAACCAGTGAATTCTGATGTCCCCCCCCCAATCCAGCTGTGAAACACCACCTTGGTGTGTATCCCCAACCTGTCCCAATTAAGGTTCTGAGCCCACTTTCACCTCTTTTAGAGTGTTTGTATTTAAAGATGTTTTTAAAGGTGTCAGATTTCTTTTTTTTTCCAGGTGCAAAATAGAGAAAGTGATTTGCTGGTGTGTCAGAGTGTTTAATGATCTGCCTGCCAGTGGGGGGTGCTGTGATGCAGGGATGGGAATGGAGTTTGGTGGGTGGAGCAGGGGGGGTTGGGAGCCAGGACTCCTGGGTTCTCTTCTGGTTCTGGGAGGGGAGTGGGGTCTAGTGATTGTAGTGCAGCAGTGGGGGACCCTGTTTGTCTTCCATCAGCTTCGGTTCTCTGGTTAAATGAACAGAGAATCCCCCTCTTGGAGAGCAGTACAGGGGAGCTGAACCAGATGGCTGATCATTCCATCCAGCACTGAGGAGAGTATGAGATTGGACCTCAGCTCTCCCAACAGAGGGCAGCATGGCCAGAGCGAGAGACCCTCCCCCTGGCTGTCACAGACCTATTCAGACACTCCCTGCTTTTCAGTGTTTGCACTCTGATCAGACAAAATGCCCCCTTGCAGAGAGAGGGAAACCGAGGCATAGAAAGAGGTGTGTGTGTGACGAAGTGGGACTGTTCTTAATGTTTCCTCTGAATAGTGTGGGGGTGCCTCAGTTTCCCCTAGGCAGTTCTTAAGTATCTAGGGGGTGGAGTAAGGGTGTCTGATCATTGCAGAGCCCTAGAGGGCAGGTGTGTGCAGGAGTCTGGACACAGAGAATGGCCGACACCCTGTTTCCTGGCAACTGATGGCCTGGGCCCTTCCCCCCTGCAAGGTGAGAGCTGAAGGGTTGGAGAACAAAGGAATCAGGTGACCACCTGGCCCGGGGAAAGGGACAAAGCCCAGAGCAGGGGGGGGCTGAAGGGGGTTTTCAGTTTGGGGCTGGCTGGGGACATGGAGTGAAGTGCAGACGTGGTTGTCTGGCTCACTGCCCCCCCAAAATGGACCCAGCTGAGGGGTCCCGTTCTCTGCACCTGCAAGCTCTGTTTTAGACCATGTTCCTGTCGTCTAATAAACCTTCTGTTTTACTGGCTGGCTGAGAGTCACGTCTGACTGCGAAGTTGGGGTGCAGGACCCTCTGGCTTCCCTAGGAGCCCCGCCTGAGCGGACTCGCTGGGGGGAAGCGCACGGAGAGGCAGAGGATGCTGAATGCTCCGAGGTCAGACCCAGGAAGGTGGAAGCTGTGTGAGCTGTGTGTCCTGAAGACAGGCTGCTCACAGAAAGGCGACTGCCCCAGAGTCCTGACTGGCTTCATGGGGAGCAGTTCCAGAGCATCGCCCAGGGACTCCGTGACAGTGTGTCTGGCACAGAACCAAGGGCTGAATTGCAGAAGCCTGACTTGCCATCCAAGGGGTTAACCTCTGCTCCTGCCTTGTACTGTCAGCACCCAACTACACTCACTCCCTTTCGCTCTCATGGTCCCCCTGCAAATTCATCTCCACGTGTGCCTGGGCTTAAGGAGCTTGAGATGCCTTTCTTGGGGCATTTCCTGCTGAGCCCCCAGGGCTGATTCATTCAAAATCCCCTGAGCGGTCCTAAGCAGCCGTGGGCCGCAGCCTATGGGTGGGGGGGGCACTGAAGGGTCACAGAGACACCCCAAACAGTAGCAACTGCTCTTTCAGCACCTCTGTCCCCACTCTTCTCAGAGATGGGCTCGGAACCCAGGAGTCCGGGCTCCTAGCCCCACCTGCTCTAACCCACTAGACCCTACTCCCCTCCCAGAAGTGGGGAAAGAACCCAGGGGTCCTGGCTCCCAGCCCCCGCTGCTCTAACTACCGGAGCCGAGGAGAGAGCCCAGGAGAACTTGCTCCAACCACTAGCTCCTGTCCAGGCAGGCAGGGATGCTTTGGGGCAGAAGAGCCCCCCGCTCCTGTGCCCTCTGAGGCGGGGAATGGGCCCCCCCAGAAGGGCTGATCTCCCAGGCAGACACATGGCAGGGGTGGGGGGTGCAGAGCCCCTGGCAGCGGGGCAGTGGCAAGGAGTCTGCACACCAAAAGCCTGGGGGTGGGGTGCAGTGGAGGAGACTGGGACCCTTGGGGGCAGGGAGGTCAGGGAAGGGGGGGAACCCACCAGTGGGCACCAAACGGGGCAGTGGATTTGGGCATTTTAAAGCCAGGGGGTGGGGTCTGGGGGCTGGCAGCCAGGACTCCTGGGTTCTGCGCATGGGGGCTCCAGGGGCTGAGGAGCTCCCCTGTTAGGGGGCTTCTGGGGGCAGAGCCAGGCACTAGGTGGACGTGGGGGATGGGTCAGAGAATCCCAACCCCCTAGCGCCGGGGAGGGAACCCAGGAGTCCGGGCTCCCAGCTCCTTGTCATGTGACTGGGTCCATGCCGGCTTCGGGCAGTTCCGGGTGCGTTGCTAGGCAACTGGGCCCCGGTTGCCTGGGCGCCCGCCAGGTACTGGGGCTGTGGGGGGAGAGCGCGGCGCGGTGCATTGTGGGAAGGGGCGCTCCCCCTCTACTGGGGTGCCTCAGGAATTGGGGGTAGCCAGGGAGGGAGCAGTGCATTGTGGGAAGGGGCGGTCCTATGGGGCAAGAAAGCAGTGCATTATGACACAGCGTACCCCCCAGTATCCCACAATGCACTGCGGTGCCCCAGAAATGGGGGGCCACAACTTGAGAGGGAGCAGTGCATCATGGGAAGGGAAAGGGCCCCCCCCAGTATCCCACAATGCACTGCAGGTGCCCCAGAAATTGGGGAGGGGGTTGCCTGGAGCAGTGCATTGTGGGAAGGGAAAGGGGGTCCCCCCCACAGATATGGGGTGAGAAAGCAGTGGGTTATGAAATAGGACACCCCCTGATATCCCACAATACCCTGTGGGTGCCTTAGTAATGGGGGTATGGCCTGAGACAGGCAGCAGTGCATTGTGGGATGAGGCTCCCCCAATAACCCACAGTGCACTGCGGGTACCCAGCATTGGGGTTCCCTCAGTATATGGGGCGAGGACCAGGGCATTATGGGACAGAGCAAATCCCCCCCCACATACCCTTGGTATGCAACAATGCCGAGTGCCCCTTTCAGGGGTGGGGGGCCCCTAATAGTGTGTAAATTCCTCTCCCCCACAGGTCCCAGTGCAAACCAGTCAGCCCAGCATGGATCAGTACAGCATCCTGGGCAGGATCGGGGAAGGAGCCCACGGCATCGTCTTCAAAGCCAAGAACATAGAGGTGAGAATGTCCCCCCTCAGTCTGATCCCCACAGCCAGGGCTGGGGGCCAGGCTGCCAGGGTTCTCTCCCCAGCTCTGGGAGGGGGAGTGGGGTCTAGTGGTTGGGGCAGGGGGGATGGCGGGGGCTAGGACTCTTGGGTTCTATTCTCACTGCTTCCCTGCTCCACAGTCGGGGGAGACTGTGGCGCTGAAGAAGGTGGCTCTGCGGAGACTGGAGGACGGGATCCCGAACCAGGCGCTGCGGGAGATCAAAGCACTACAGGAGATTGAGGAGAATCAGCATGTGAGTGGGGGGCAAGGAGCCAGGGCTCCTGGGGTTCTCTCCTTGGCTCTGGGAGGGGACTGGGGTTTAGTGGGGTCTGGGCTAGGTGACTCTTGGGATCCCTTCCAGCCCTACAGCACTGGGGTTCTGTGATGGCAAAGCCACTGGGTTGGGGGTCAGAAATAGAAACCCCAGGGTCTGTTTCTCCGCATCCCCTTCCACTACCCGGCCTGCAGCTACCCTATCCTCCTGTCTCTGGGTTGCTGCCTTCGTTCGTTCTTTCTTGTTCCCCTGTTTCTTTTTTCCTTTCTCTGTATTCTTTCTTTCGTTTTCTCTGCTCCTTTTTTTTTTGTCTTTTTCTCTTTTCGTTCATTCGCTTCTAGAGCTGGGCAAAACAAAATCAACAAAGAGCGAAGCTGCCCCAAAATGCAGTTTTCAAGGCAGCAAAACTGTTTGAAAATTCAAGTTTCCATCAACCCCCCCAAAAAACACTGTGGGGTGGGGGGAGAGAACCATCAAAAGGTTTTATTGTGACCCAGATGAAATTTAGTCAGGTTTCTTTGTTTGTTTTGTTTGTTTCCTCAAGAAAAACTGCAAAAATTCAGTTAGAAATTAACCAAGTTTTCCCCCAAGATCGATCGATCTATAGATCTATCTATCTTTTCTCTGTATTATATTCCCTTTCTTTCCTTTTCATCCTCTGTTTGTTTTTTCATTCATTCCTTTCTCTGGATCTCTTTTTCTTTCTCTTTTCTTGTTTCACTCTTTTCTGTATATTATATTCCCTTTCTCAGTCTTTGTTTTTCATCCCTCATTTTTTTTCTCTTTGGTTCATTCTTTTCTCTGCATTTTCTTTCTATTTTTCTTTCTTGTTGCTGAGAGATAGTTGGTAATTTAAGATGCCAAGAAAGCAGAAGAAGTGAGGTATGGATGGGTGTCCACCTATCTATCTGGACTGAACTGGTTAGAGGCAGCAGACACTGGGATGGGTGGGCCCATGGCTTGCACCAAAGGCGGGATACTGGGGTCGATGTGCCCATGGCTGAGACCTGGCATGGCCGGGACATCAGGCTGGCTGGGCTCACAGCTCTGCCCGTCTTCCCCGTCGCAGGTGGTGAAGCTGAAGGCCGTGTTCCCCCATGGCGCAGGCTTCGTGCTGGTGTTCGAGTACATGCTGTCGGACCTGGCCGAGGTGATCCGCAACGCCCAGCAGCCTCTCACGCAGGCCCAGGTGAAAGGCTACATGCTCATGCTGCTGCAGGGGGTGGCCTTCTGCCACGCCAATAATATCATGCACCGGGTGAGTCCAACCCCTCACCCCCCAGCTCCCCCTGTTCTAACCACCAGGCCCCACTCCCATCCCCGAGCCAGGGAGTGAACCCAGGAGTCCTGGCTCCCAGACCCCCCTGCTCTAACTCATAGCCCCCACTCCCCTCCCAGAGCCGGGAAGAGAACCCAGGAATCCTGGCTCCCAGCCCCCCACTGCTCTAACCACGAGACATCACTCCCCTCCCCGAGCAGGGGAGGGAACCCGGGAGTCCTGACTCCCATCCCCCCTCCTGTAACCCACTCATTGTTCCCAGCAGGATCTGAAACCAGCCAATTTACTCATCAGCTCTGCGGGGCAGCTGAAGATTGCAGATTTTGGCCTCGCCAGGGTGTTCTCCAGTGACACAGTCCGGCTCTACAGCCACCAGGTGGCCACCAGGTGAGTGGGAGTGTCCGGGCTGGGAGCCAGGACTCCTGGGTTCTCTCCTTGGCTCCGGGATGGGGGTGGGGTCTAGTGGTTAGAGCAGGGGGGCTGGGAGCCAGGACTACTGGGTTCTCTCCCTGGCTCTGGGAGGGGAGAGGGGTCTAGTGGGTTAGAGCGGGAGAGGCTAGTGGCTGGTATGGAGGTGTGTAACCGTCTCTCTGTCTCCCCATTAGGTGGTACCGCGCCCCGGAGCTCCTGTATGGCGCCCGGAAGTATGACGAAGGGGTGGATTTGTGGTGAGCTCCCCGGCCCCTCATTTATTAGAAGCCCCCTACTCCAGTCTCCCCTCCATGCTTGAGCCCCCCCTGTGGCTGGACAGCCCTTTTTTAGTATGAATCCCCACCCCCTGCTGATGTGGGGGTCAGGAACACAGAGATCTCTGCTGGAGTTGGATTCGATTGCATACTTAATTAAGGGACATGGCCAAGGGGCCCTCCCTCCTTAATCCAGCTGTAGCCATGCCCTGTTTGCTCTGCCCCCTGGCCACTCTCCCCCCACATAATCACACCGCCCAACCCTCTTTAAAGGGAGCCAGACCACAGAGCGGGGCCCTTGAGGGGGTCTCAGCCCCCACACAGCCCTCTGTGTATGGGGGAGTCTCCTTCCCACACCCCCCAGCGGAGACGTGACAGGGCGGTTTGCACTTCTGCGAGCAACCGGCTCAGGCTCTCTGCAGACTCAGGTAGTGCCCCTATATCCGTTACACTCAGGCAGTTCGCACTTCTGCGAGCAGTCGGCTCTTTGGGCGGGTGTCGCATTTTGACACTTCTCTCCTCAGACAGGAATCCCAGGAACTCCTGTTGTTTTTTTTTATCCTGAAGGCCCAGAGTTTCTCATGTGGGGTGCAGGGGCCATGTCTGAGCCCTAAATGATCTCCCCCATCCACTCTGCGGCACAGCGGTAACTGGGGATGGTGAGGGTTGCCCTGGGGACCCTGGGGGACAGGGTTCAGTCAACCCTGGGGTTCCATAGCCACCCCCAACCCCTGGCGTGCTCCCCCTTTTCTGTGTCTGCTCCAGGGCTGTGGGCTGCATTTTTGCCGAACTGCTGAACAATTCGCCCCTCTTTCCTGGGGAGAACGACATCGAACAGCTCTGCTGCGTGCTCCGGGTGCTGGGTACCCCCAGCCAGCGCGTCTGGCCGGTGAGTGGCGGGGGGGGTCTCCCCCCGGCTCTGGGGGCTGGTGGTTAAAGCAGTGGGGGCTGGGACTCCAGGACTCCTGGGTTTTCTAACCACCAGTCTCCCATGGCAGGAGATCACGGAGCTGCCTGACTACAACAAGATCTCGTTCAAAGACAACCCGCCCATCCCGCTGGAGGAGGTGCTGCCTGACGCCCCCCCACAGGCCCTGCAGCTCCTCAAGCGCTTCCTGGTCTACCCTTCCCGGGAGCGCGTGAGGGCAGCCCAGGTAAGGGAGCCCCACTCCTCTCCCGGAGCCTGGAGAGAACCCAGGAGTCCTGGCACCCAGCCCTTTTCCCCCCTTGCTCCAACCCACTGCACCCCACTCCCCTCCATCCCTAATCTCCCCTGGCATTCAGAGCTGGGTGCTAGGGAGTGCCGAGGGGTGGGAGCCGGGCAGGGGGCTCAGCAGGGGGCGCTCTGCTAGAGTTGGGGAGTGCAATACCTCAAGCTGCCACCAGAGGACGACCCAGACTCTGTCATTAGTCAGCTGTGCCGCTGGGGCAGGGGTGTTACCAGGTTAACCCTTTCTTCCCCCCCCCAGGCATTGCTGCATCCCTATTTCTTCACCCCCCCGCTGCCTGCCCACCACTCGGAGCTCCCTGTTCCCCAGCGCGGGGCTAGGAAGGCCCGGCAGGGACCCCCGCATCAGCGTGACTTCCACGTCGAGCGGCCCGTGGAGGAGTCTGTGGTGGACCCCGAATGGGTGGCCCCTTATGTGATGCGAGGGTGAAGATGGGACATGGGGCCTGTCCCCTCTAGGGGGCGCTGGCTCTGAATCAGCCCTGTGGAGGGTGAAGATTGGCCCCAGATCCCTATATAGTCCCTGTAATAGGGACCCCCAGTCTGTCTGTCCCCCCAGCATCTCCCCCTCTGGTTCCTGGTGCTCTCTGGACTCTGTGGTGACACTGAGTTTTGTAATTAAATGGCTTTTGTTTACTGTGAACTGACTCCTGGCCCCTTTCCTGGAAATGCCCTGACCCCTGGTCTGGTTCTGTGTGTAGAGCCAGGACTCCTAGGTTCTCTCCCCAGCTCTGAGAGGGGAAGGGGGGCTAGTGAGTTAAAGCAGGGGGGCTGGGAGCCAGGACTCCTGGGTTCTCTCCCTGGCTCTGGGAGGGGAGTGGGGTCCAGTAGTTAGAGCTGGGGGGCTGGGAGCCAGGACTCCTGGGTTCTCTCCTGAGCTCTGGGATGGGAGGGGGGCTAGTGGTTAGAGCAGGGGGAGCTGGAAGTCAGGACAACTGGGTTCAGTCTCCGGCTCTGCCTTGCTCCCCCGTTCTCCCGGCAGTGACAGGCGGGTGACAGCCGTCCAGCCTGAGCCGGGAGATAGCGTTATCTCTGTCGCCACGTGCCCGCCTCTGGGCTGTGCTACCATTGCTGGGGGGTGGAGGGAACAGGGTTGGCTGGCCACGGATCCCTCACTTTCCTCCCCTGCTCTGGCCTTGTCTCCCTCCGTTCCTGCTCTCTAGGCCTGTCCTGCTCTCGCGCGCTTTCGTTCGTCACATCTCTTTCACTTCTTCCTTCCTCTCGCACGTTTCTCACGCTCTTTCCCTCCAGCCTCCCTTCCTTCGGTCACTGTCAGGCCCTGTCTTTCGCTGTCTCGCTCTCCGCCTGTCACCCTCGTCCTCTTTCATTAGCACCTGCCCCTGCCCGTCTGTCCTGCTTTCCATGATCTCCTCTTTCACTCCATGGTTCATCTGGGTGACGGCCCGTTGCGCCGGGCACTGTGCAGTGTCTATTAGATGTATTACGGTACCTCCTAGGTCCCCCAGCCAAGGCCCACAAACCCACCGCGCTGGGCCCTGTACAGTGTCTATTAGGTGTATTACGGTACCTCCTAGGCACCCCAACCACAGCCCAGGACCCCACTGTGCCAGGCGCTGTACAAACCCACAACGAAAAGACAGTCCCTGCCCCCCGCAGAGCTTCCCGCCGGAGACAAGGGACCCAGGGCGGGTCCAGACAGGGACTGCAAGGGAACGACAAGTCTCTATTGCAACCAGCTCCGTGCCCCAGCAGCCTCCCCCTTGCCAAGGTTTTCCCTGAGGTGTCTTGGCAGAGGAGGCGGAGAAAGAGGTGGATGTCAGCGGGGCCGTGCACCCGAGCCCGAAGATGCTCGCTGGGGAGTGACGCTGGCGGCGGAGGCTGGGGTTGGGGGCCTGGCGAGGGCAGGGGCAGGAGTGGAGCTCCGAGTACCGACGGTGCTAGATCGGCTGCCAGAGACCTTATACAGTTCTAGATTCCTCGCTCCGAAGAGTCGCTGCTTCGCAGGACAGAGCCCCCACCCTTCGCACGGCCAGTGTTCTTGTTCCTACGTGGACACGTTCACATTTAGCCGTATACAAAACCACACATTGTTAGCTTATGCCCGGGTTCCCAGGCACTCCTGGTGGCTCGGTGGCTCTGACCTGCCCCCCTACAGAATTTACCCACCATTTTTTGAGCCACCTGCAAACTTTATCAGGGATGATTTTATATTTTTTTCTAGGGCATTAATCAACATGCCTGGCCGAGAACTGATTCCAGGGGACCCCACTGGAAACAGACCCACTCGAGGATCATTCCTCGTTTACAGCTACATTCTGAGATCTATCAGTTAGCTGGTTTTTAAGCCATTTAATGTGGGTTGTGTTAATGTTACATTGTGTGAATTTTTAATCCGTGTTATGCGCGACCAGGTCAAACGCCTCGGCGAAGTCTGCCTGTTACATCAGCGCTGTCACCTTTAGCAACCAAACGTGTAATCTCATTAAAAAAAGATATCAAGTTAGTTTGACCAAATCTATTTTCCGTAAACCTCTATTGATTGGCATTAATTACATCACTCTCTTTTAATTCTTCATTGATCAAGTCCTGTATCCGCCTCTCTGTTCTCTTGCCCAGGATGGATGTCAGGCTGACAGACCTATAATTACCCAGATCATCCCATTCACCCTCTTTTAAAAAATTGGCACATTGATTTATTATAGTCTTCTGGACCTTCCCCAGTGCTCCAAAGCAACAGTAACAGTACAGCCAGCTCCTCGGCCAGCTCTTGTAAAACTCTTGGATTGAAGTTCTCTGGGCCACATGATTTAAAAATGTTTGATTTTTGGTAGTGTCTGTGTAACATTCTCCAGAGACACTAGTGGAATGGAAAGAGTGTTGTCATCACTCGTCCGATGAGCCTGCAATGTCTGTTTTTCTTACGCAGAACAGAAATATTTATTGACCGCGTCTGCCTGTTCTGTGCTAGTACTGGTAAGTTTACCATTTCCATCAAGGAATGGAGTGTTCTCAGGATCCTTTTTGTTCCTCATGTGGTTAAAAAAACTCCTTCTCATTGTCCAAATGGCTTATGTCTGATGTGCCAGAGAAGGGGGTGTCAGTGGAGGGCTGCAAGGGTTCGAAAACGCATTAGATAAGTTCATGGCTGATCGGTCCATCAGTGGCTATTAGCCAGGATGTCCAGGGCTGCCTCCCCATGGTCTGGGTGTCCCTAAACCTCTGATTGCCAGTAGCTGGCACTGGGTGACGCGGTGGATCACAGTTCATTCCCTCTGAAGCACCTGGCGTTGGCCGCTGTCAGCAGCGATTGGACTGACCTGGCGTGGCCGTTCTTCTCTTTCTTAGGGGCAGTGTGGTCAGAGAAATGGGCTTGGAGGAGGATTTTGAGCCCCCCCCCTTCCCCCCCTTTCCAGGCAGGGACGAGCCGGGCAAGATCGCCCAGACGATGCGGTGGGGCGAGGATAGAGAGGAAAAGCTGGATCTTGAGGACGTCGGGTGGCATCCGCAAGACTTCCACGGAGTCTGCACGTGAGAGGAAGGCCCGCGTCAACCGTGACAGGCAAGCTGGGGTGAGGAGCTGGTTAGATAGCCAGGAGGTGGCCGGATTTTTGCTTGGTGAGGTCAATCTGGGAGTGGAGGCAGGAGTTAGACCCGGGTTTGTGGGAGGGAGAAGGTGCAGATGGAGAAGAGAACGACCGAGCCCCGGGGAGGTGGGAGGAGAGCCAAGAACGGATGGAGTCAGGGAAGCCGAGATGCCCAGAAAAAGAGCGAGGTGGAGGGTGGATACTCCTCCTTTTGTGTGATCTTTCAATCATTGTCGATTTTTTCTGTGTCGTCTTTCAGTGCACCCTTTGCTCCCTCTAGCAGAATCTTTCTTTTTCCTCTCTCACTCTTCCTATCTTAGACTCTTGCTGAGCTCGGTAAGCTGCAGAATTTTTTCCCTATCAATAAGAAAATAAAACAACCTAGGAAAGACCAGGCAAAAACCTTGTTTAAGTTTTAAAAAAGAAATGAGGACATGCCAGATAGTTTAAGGTTCCCGCAGTAAACTTTGATTTTGAGATCGGGGTCTTGTCATGCCAGGTGCTGCCCAGACCCCGCCCACAATCAGGGCCACCCGGGCGCTGCCCACACCCCGACCAATCGAAGGCTGGCTTGGTTCTGATGGATAAAATACCTTTGCAGGGAGAGACTCCTGGGCACTAACAAGCTCGTTACTCTCTCAGGAAAAGGCAGAATAAGAACCCGCGGCTGGGGGTTAAAGCCAGACGCAGCCCAGCTGGAAATGCAGCCCTGACTTTTCCCAGCGTGGGTGATGATGAGCCCTCGGAACAAACCGCCTGAGGACATGGTGGATTCCCCGACTCCCATGGGGTCAGGTCCGGGCCAGATCCCTTTACAGAAGGGGCTTTAGCCAAGTCAGTGGGCTCAGCGCAGGGGACCCTCGGTGAAATTCACCAGCCTGGGCTATATGGGAGGTCAGCCTTGGTGGTCTAAGGGGCTTTTCTAGCCAGTCCCATGGTTTGTGGCAAGTTCATTGCACCCCCAGGGACTCTGTGCCCCCCTCCATCCCCCCCAACCCCTCTTATTCACAGACTCCCTCTGTGTCCCCTAATTTCCTCCATGCCAGGGGCTCTGGGTGCCCCCCAGTCTCCCCAGAGCAGGGTCCCCCATTCTGCCCCCCCCATGCCAGGAACTCTCTGTGCCCCCCATTTTCACCACCCTTCTCTGAGGGGTCATTCATTCAAGGGGTCTCTCGGTTACACTCCCTCGGGGAGCTGGCCTGAAGAAGGTGTCAGTTTCTCATCCCCCACCTGTGGGCTCTTTGATCTCCACTCAATGGCTGAGGTGCTAAAACGGTGGCCGTGCTAACCGGATGCCAGGCGGGGGCTCCCCGTGTATCCCCTCCATTTTCTAATTTCCTCCCCCTCCCCAATTCCACAGACTCCTGCCCGTTGGTGCCCGGAATGTCCTCAGGAAATTTGGGAAGGACTGGCCACGGTATCTGGCAATTGTTGCCTGATGCGTGGGTGGAGACACACCAGGACGGTGAGCGTGAGAGCTTCGCCAGCTTGGCCAGGGACAAGATTAGACTCACCCGCGAGCTGAGCTCCGCTTCGGGGAAAGAGGGTGAGTGGACGGAGACTCTCTGCTACTGGGTAGCAGTATAGGGAGCATGACACACAGCAGAGTTTTCAAAGAGGGCCCTGCTGTTTACGCCCAGAGCAGGGCCCATCCCCTGCAGCAGGGACGGACGCACGCGCACACAGCAGGGCTTCTCCTCTCCAGCAGGGGGTGTCAGGGTCCCCCCCCAGCCTTGACCATTGCAATCTTATTACAACAAGCCTTATGGTATGAACCTGCTGTGCTTAATGTAGGTCCTACTGTATTTACTAGCCCAATGACACTGATCTCTGCTTGATAGTGCTGAGGGAGCTGTCCCAGTGCTGGGCTAGCAGGGGCTGCAGGTCGGGTGTGAGGGGCACCGGCAGGGCTGTGTTGGAGGGTGGGGAGGGCAGGGGCTGCGGGTCGGGCGTGAGGGGCACCGGCAGGGCTGTGTTGGAGGGTGGGGAGGGCAGGGGCTGCGGGTCGGGAGTGAGGGGCACCGGCAGGGCTGGGTTTGGGCTCATCTCTCTCTCTCTCTTGCTCAGCTCCTTCCCCTTTATCTGGCGCTGGGAGATAAGCGGGTGTTTTTCGGAGAATTGGTCGCTGGCTTCCCCTGAAGTCTGGGTGAGACTCACCCGCCCCCACCGCCTGCCTGTGCGCAGGGCCAGGGGTTCATCTGAGCCAGTCCTGACAGAGAATCTGCATCAGTTTCTGTCAGCCAGTGTCTCGGGGACACCCCCATCTACAGCCGCAGTGGGGGTCTAGTGGGTTAGAGCACGGGGGGCTGGGAGCAGGAGTCCTGGGTTCTCTCCCTGAGTCTGGAAGGGGAGTGGGGGGGTCTAGTGGTTAGAGCAGGGGGGGCACTGGGAGCCAGGACTCCTGGGTTCTCTCCCCGGCTCTGGGACACTAGCAGAGGCCAGGAAGACTCTGCGGCCCTGCCACCCCAGAAGCAGCGGGGGGCCCGGAGGTGTCTCCCCCACCCACGTCTGTTATTCCCAAGCTGCCTCCCTGCCCTGCCCGCCCCAGCCCCGTGGCATGCGTTGTTCCAAGCCCCATCACCGAGAATCCGCCAACCGCCAGCTCCTGAGCCTGGCATCAGATAAGGGCTTATCGGGGACTTCCAGGCCTGCTGCCATAACCTCCCCAGGCCCCAAACTGGCTGAGCGGTTAGTGGGGCAGGGAATGGGGTCTGGGGCCTGACCCTTCTGGGGGGCGCCGGCTCCCACCCGGACCCAGGGCAGGGACTGGCTGGCTCAGGGGGGTGGGGAATGGGGCACAGGGCCTGTCCCCTCTAGGGGGTGCCGGCTCCCATCCGGTCGCGGGGCTGGCTGAGGGGGGCGGGAAACGGGGCCTGGGGCCTGTCGCCTCTAGGAGGTGCCAGCTGAGATCTGCCCCTGCGTGTGAAATCTCTAGGGATGCTGAGTGATGATAGACCAATTGCCACCTCCCCATGTATCCACCGCGGCCTCTCCTCCCCCAGACGAGCATGGGGGTACTGCACCAAGACCCCAAAACTCCCAGGCCCCCCTCCAGTGTTTACCTGCCTCCTCCCACTGAGCCAGGGAGAGAACCCAGGCATCCTGCCTCCCAGCCCCACCTCCCCACTAGACCCTAGTCTCCCCACAGAGAACCCAGGAGTTCTGGCTCCCAGCCCCCCGACCACTAGACTCATCTTCTTCTACACCAGAGAGAGTTTGGGGGGCTAGTTTTCTCTCTCTCTCTCCGCCGTACATTGGAGGTAATTGAGTTCTCCAAGGTGGGGGACAAGAGCCCCCCAGCTGTTCCCCCCCCTCCCCTCTCTGTGCCCCACAGGAGCCCGTCCCGTCTCAGAAGGCGGGACCTCACCCGCCTGGGCTGCTGTGTCATTTTTAGCGTCTCTGCCCCCCCCCCCCACTCCTTCTTTCCGTCTGTCTCTCGGAGCCACCAGCAAGTTGGGGCCAACCCGCGGCCGGGTAGATCTGGGGGAACTCGCTGCGCTTCAAACCGCCCCCCTCGAAATTCGCCACTGGTCCACCTGGCACCGCATGGGGGCCTCCCCCCAAAAATTTTTTTTGCCCAGCTGTAGGTGAGTGTCAATCCGAGGCCAGCGTGGGACAGGCGGTGTCTGGTTTTGGGCAGTTGTGAAGAGAGACCGATGGACAGAATGAATCGGGACGGACGGGGTGGTGCGCGGGCGGGTGCAAACAGTGGGCTGGCACGGTGGTACCAGGGGGCAGTGGGCATGGAGGGCTGTCGCGGTGGTACCAGGGGGCATTGGGAACGGAGGGCTGTCGCGGTGGTACCAGGGGGCAGTGGGCACGGTGGGCTGGGGAGGTCGTCGGTCGCTCAGGAGCCAAACCAGGAACGGGGCAAGGCTGGAAGGGGAGAGAAGGAACAGAGTAAAGGGCCAGAGTGGAGGGACCAGTGTCCTGGCCGCACAGCTGGGTTGTCCGTGGCCCAGCAATGGAGCACTGGGGATCGACGGGCAGGGTGAGGGGATGGGGATGGAGAGGGAGTGGGTGTGCTTTGGGATGGACCAGGAGAGAGAGAGGGGTGCGTATTGGGGAGATGGATGGAGGGCAGGGTGTGGAGGGATGGTGGATGGAGGGGTTTAGTGGGGAGGATGGGGTGGGGGGAAGGATGGGGAGGGGGGATTTGGGGGGATGGGGTAGATGGAGGCGTGTGAGTGGGATGGAGGGGTGGGGGGAAGGGGATGGATGGAGGGGTGGGGGGCAGTGGATGGAGGGGTTTGGGGGATGGGTGGAGGGGTGTGAGTGGGATGGAGGGGTTTGGGGAAGGGATGGGGGGATGGAGGGGTTGGGGGAGGAATGGTGGGTGGGTGGGAGGGGGATAGGGTGGATGGAGGGGTTTGGGGGATGGGTGGAGGGGTGTGAGCAGGATGGAGGGGTGAGGGGAAGGGTGGGGGCAGACAGAGGTGGGTGGGGGCGTGGGGCAGATGGATGGATGATGGGTGGGGGTGGATGGATTGCACGAGAAAAAGAGGTGAGAAGACTGGCAGGTCCCAGCAGGTCCCTTCCAGGTTAATGTCGAGGTTTCCCTCCCCGACTGATTTCCACCCCACATTTGACTTCCCGCTGGTCGTTTGGGGATCTGGGGGGTGGGAATTTCCATCTCCCATTGACCAGCAGAATGGTCAATTGTCTGGAGATGTCCAGTCCCGTGTGTGGGCGTCGGGGTCAGGGAGGGGGAGACCCCCCCCATCTAGAGACACTTTTCCAGCCCCCCCACATCCAACTGTTTAGAAGCCTGGTTCGGTGATGAATATTCTACTCCGCTCCTGGAACCAGGGAGAGAACCCAGGAGTCCAGGCTCCCAGCCCCGCCCCCCAACCACTAGACCCCACTTCCCTCCCAGAGCTGGGGAGAGAACCCAGGAGTCCTGGCTCCCAGCCCCCCCCCCCCCGTCTAACCACTAGACCCCACTCCCCTCCCAGAGCTGCAGAGAGAACCCAGGAGTCCCGGCTCTCAGCCCCTCTGCTCTAACCACCAGGCCCCACTGCCCTCCCAGAGCCAGGGAGAGAACCCAGGAGTCCTGGTTGCTAGCCCCCCGCCCCCCCCAACCCACCAGCCTTCCCTCCTCTGAGTACTGAGCAAGGGTGCAATAAAAGGGAGAATTCGATATCCCAGGGGATCAGAAATTTACCTTCTGTTCTCTTCTCTCAGCCTCCGGGACGCCTGGGTTCTTTTGAAGCCTTTGCGAGGTAAATGTGGGGGTGGGAGCGTCACCCTTGGGTGTGTGGGGGGGTGCGGGGGTTACAATACACCTTGTTCTACCCACTGAGCTGTGTAGGGGCAAATCTGTCACTGCCGTGTGATCCGCCCGTCAAGGCAAGGGAGATAATTTTTATCTCCCGGCTATTCCTTATCTGAGGCCCTAACCCCGATAACGGCTGTACAATCGTTGGGCCCCACACGTCCTATTTCCTCCCCCCTCCGGCCTGGTACACACCCACACAACGCACAGATCCTGCGATGCTGGAGTTGGATGTGAATATGGTTCAAGGAGATGGAAGTGGGGGTGATGGGGGGCACGCAGGGCACTGGGGGGTGTTTGGAGTGTGTCTGTGATGGGGGGCGGTGGTTGGGTTGTGGTGGTGTGCATCTGCGTTTGGCTCGTTTGGCTTTGTGCTGGTGCTGAGGGTGTGTCTCCTTGGGTTGTGTGTCTGTCTTTGGGAGGTGTGTGTTTGGGTTGTTTGTCTTTGCGGTGATATTGAGGGTGTCTCTCCTTGGGTTGTGTGTGTGTGTCTCTGGGTTGTGTTTTGTAGTGTTCAGGGTGTTTGTGTTTGGGTTGTGTCTTTGTCTTTGGGTTGTGGTGGTGTTTGGGTTGTTTGTCTTTGCGGTGGTATTGAGGGTGTCTCTCCTTGGGTTGTGTGTGTGTGTCTCTGGGTTGTGTTTTGTAGTGTTCAGGGTGTTTGTGTTCGGGTTGTGTCTTTGTCTTTGGGTTGTGGTGGTGTTTGGGTTGTTTGTCTTTGTGGTGGTGGTGAGGGGGTGTCCCCTTGGGTTGTGTCTCTGGGATGTGGTGGTGTGTGTGTTTGGGTAGCATGTCTTTGCGGTGGTGTTGAGGGGTGTCTCTCTTTGGGTTGTGTCTCTTTTTGTGTGGGTCTGGGCTGTGTTTTTGTAGTGTGGTGGGTGGGTGTTTTTGCATTGTGGTGGTGTGTCTGTGTTTGGGTTGTGTGTCTTGGTGGTGGTGGTGAGAGTGTCTCTCTTTGGGTTGTTTCTCTTTGTGTGGGTCTGGGCTGTGTTTTTGTAGTGTTGAGGGTGTGTGTTTACGCTGCGTGTCTTTGTGTGGTTTGGGCTGTGGTGGTGGGGTGTGTGTGTGCTGTTTGGGACTGCCTGTGCTGTGTGTTTCATATGGCAGGCGTTAGTTTCGGTGGCTGTGACTTGGTGTGTTGTTTGTGTTGAATTGGCATGTCTGGGTGGGCTGTTGTGTTTTCCTGAGGCTGGTTGTTTGGTGGGTGTGTATCTCTTATCTGTGTGTGTTGTATCCGTGGGTTAGCAGCGTGTTGTGGCTGTGGGGGGCTTTTTGGGGAAGTATTTCCCTGAGTGTGGTGTCGGACGTGTGAGTCTGTTGTTCTGGGGATGCTGAGTGTTGGCTTTTTGGGGTGTTGGGGTGTTTTTCCAAGGTGTGGTATTTTGGAGTGCTTTTGTGTGTGTGTTGGGGGGCTTGTGTGTCACGGAGGGAGTTGTGCTTTCTCTGCCCTTTGGGCTGGATTTCTTTGCCTGTCTTTGTAATATGCATGTGTGTGTGTGTTGTCTGTGTGTGTGTCCATCCCTGCTGCCCCCTACTGGAGGGCCTGAGTCCTGCTGTGTGTGTGTCCTTGCGGTCTGGGATTGTGTGCTGTTTCAGGGCAGTGGTTTGTGTGTGTGTCTTGATTGTGGTGGGGTGGCACCATGGAGATGTTGTAAGTATTGGCGAGGGGTGTACATTTGTGCGATGTGGGTGTGCTGAGTGCGTGTCCTGGGTGGGTGCGTGTTTGTGGGTTGGGAGCAGGGCTGGGTTGAATTGTCACTTACCAATGGACATAAGATTAAAAAAGCAACAAAATTCACAACATGAGAAGGACACAACAGGGCACAGAGTCGGTGTGGGGATTATACACACCCCGACCAACCTGTACACAGAGCCGAAGAGAGAACCCAGGTGTCCTGGCTCCCAGACCCCCGACTCTAGCCCCACCAGACCCCACTCCCCTCCCAGAGCCGAGGAGAGAACCCAGGTGTCCTGGCTCCCAGACCCCCGACTCTAGCCCCACCAGACCCCACTCCCCTCGCAGAGCCGGGAGAGAACCCAGGCGTCCTGGCTCCCAGCCCCCGCTCCACTGTGGGTGGTTAGTTTGCTGCTCCCCCCCCCCCCCGCTCGTTATCTGCCCCATCTCTGCTGCGTTGGGGATGAGGCAAGGGCAGCTTTTGAAATCAGCTTTGAGACCGGGCCAACTTCCTCTGCACTGTGCAACCCTCCCACCCCACACACACCCGGCAGCCAGGACGCCTGGGTTCAATCCCTGAGTCAGGGAGGGGAGTGGGAGCTAATGGTTAGAGCAGGGGAGGGGAACCAGGACTCCTGGGTTCTGTGTGAGGGGAGGTGGGTTCACAGAGGGGACAGGCCCCATGCCCTATCCCCCTGAGCCAGCCAGGCCCCGCGCTGGGGCCGGGTGGGAGCCGACATGCCCGGGAGGGGGCAGGCCCCGGCTGAAGTCTCTGGCGGACGTTGGGGGGGCTGCGTGTGAGATCGGGGGGGCGGATAGGGCCAGGAGGCCCCAGTTCTCAGAACGAGAGGCTTGGAGCATCTGATGGGGAGAGAGATAGAGACAGAGAGATGCAGAGATTGGGCGGGCGGCAAGGGCAGCATCTTCCGGGGTAACCCCCCCAGGCCAGAGGGGGCCCAGGGACAGGGTATATAGGGGCGGGGTCACCAGGGCCTGCCTGGCTGGCTGGAGACAGAAAGGTGGGGATGGGGAAACAGAGGGGTCTTGGAGGGAGGGAGGGGCAAGGGGGGGATGGATGGGGTGGGGGAGATGGAGGGGGGATGGAGGGAGGGAGGGGCATGGGGGGGTGGATGGGGTGGGGGGGATGGAGGGAGAGAGGGGCATGGGGTGGATGGGGTAGGGGGGATGGAGGGGGGATGGAGGGAGGGAGGGGCATGGGGGGTGGATGGAGTGGGGGAGATGGAGGGGGGATGGAGGCATGGAGGAAGGGGGGATGGATGGAGGGATGGAGGAAGGGGGGGCCTGCAGGGAGGGAAGGGTGGATTTAGATGTCGGGGGAGGGACAGACCCATAGTTTTCAGTCCCGTAAGCCCCACGTTTCCCCTCGTGGCCCCAGGACCTCTCGCTCCTCCCTGGCCTGTTTCCCTCTCCCCCCCCAGTCCTTGTCCTCGCGCCCCCTCGGGCCCATTCTCCAGTCTGTCCATTCCCCGCTGGGGCCCCCCCATCCCGCCCACCCCCAGCGTCTCTCAGTGCCCTCCCCTAGCCGGGGACCGGGCGGGTGGGTTTCCTTCCCCAGGCCCTGTAGTGCTGAGAATGGTGACCTGGCTGGTGCATGCAGGGCCCTACCCTTGAGATGCCAACCGTTAACCCTTTATGAACCGTTTGACTCGCGAAGCGTGGCCAGCCAGCGGCCTCGGGGGGCAAATCCCCCCCGGCTTGTCCCAGTCCGGCCCAATTCACACGTGGAATCGCTGCGTTTGCACGCTAGTGAGCAGCTGTTTTTGCACGTGGCCTCTCAAGAACGGGATTCTGCTCCACGGGAACATGTCATTGTGGGTATGGGGGGCAGACGGACGGTGGGGAGCCGGCCCCTCGCGTTGTCTGGGCCCTGCAGGGGCTCGGGGCTGGGGGAGCACGGGCTGGCATTGCCTCCTCTTAAACAGCCCTGACTTTGCTTTGCTTTTGGCTGCTTCTCTAACCACTAGACCTCACTCCCCTCCCCAAGACAGGGATGGAACCCCGGAGTCCTGGCTCCCCGCCGCCTCGCTCTAACCACTACACCCCACTTCCCTCCCTGAGCCAGGGAGAGGACCCAGGAGTCCTGACACCCTGTGTCTTGTCCCCCATGTAAATTCCCCATCTAGGTCAGGAGCTCTTGTGCCCGGGATGGATTTTGCCACCCTGGGGGGGCAGGAGATGACGCCCCATTTCCTGGAGCCCCCCTCCTGCCGCCGGCCGATGAATCTGCAGTCTTCTTCCACGGAGCCGAGGGCGGGGACCCCGGCGCGCTCGCTACCTACTTCTCCCGGACACCGGAGTCCTACCGCAATCCGACAGGTGGGTGGCCAGAGCCCGCACGCCCAGCTACGTGGCCAGGGACCCCCCGCCCTGAAACCCAGCTGGGGACACACACACACACCCCCGTTTCACCACCCCGCAGGGCTCCTTGGAGGGGCATCGCCTGAGGCCGCCCACAGAAGGCCCTATGCCACAGTCACACTGTTGCCGTGGTGACCCCTGGCACCGTTACCACGGGCTGTGGTTGCTATGGGACCACGGTTGCCGTGGCTTCCAGCAGCAGACTCGCACTGCCGCCATGGCTGCCTGTGGTGTTGCCAGGGCTCCTGCGGGGGGAGGGGGGGGTGCCTGCCTGGTTGCCATGGCAACAGTGCCATTGCTATGCCATTGTGTGGGGTTGTTGTGGTCGCCATGGTGCCCACCTGCGTTGCCATGGCCCCCACCCCCTGGATTCACTGCAGTGGTCAGGGTTTCTCCTGCCAAGGTTGCCATGGTTGCCGTGGCCCCTGCCTCGCCATGGCGACGGGTTTTGTGTCCCTGTGGCAGCTGTGGGTTCCCCTCCCACTAACCCCCCTCCTCTCCTTTTCCACCCCCTGCAGCGCGCCCAGTGTACCCTCTCCTCAACGGGCTGCAGTGGGTGGACGGGCACCCCTACGCCACGGCCGGCTGGACCCCCGTCTCCTATGGCAAGCCCCAGGCCGGGGTCCCCCTCTACCCGGCTCCCCCCTCCTCTTCCTACAGCCCCCCCTCACCCAAGGAGCAGCCCCCCGAGGACAAGGGCAGCCCCAAGTTCCTGGAGATGCTGAAGACGGAGCCAATGAGCCCCCCCACTGCCGAGCTGCTGACGTTGGGGTCCCCCGTCGGGGCCCCCCACCCCGCCTACACCGGGACCCCGGAGCTCGGGTTCTACCAGCCCAGCGGGAGCCCCCTGGTGGCTGGGTACTCCCCCAAACTCAGGGGGCCGCTGCAGCTGTCCCCGTGCGGTGAGAGCTTCCTTCGGGCTGGGGGGGGTGGGGGGTCGGCGCCCCCTGCGGGGAGGGCCCATCGCTGACTCGGTTTCCCTCTCCCGTCCCTCAGAGGCGCGGGAGTGTGTGAACTGTGGGGCCACAGCCACACCCCTGTGGCGCCGGGACGGCACCGGGCACTACCTGTGTAACGCCTGCGGGCTGTACCACAAGATGAACGGGCAGAACCGGCCCCTCATCCGGCCCAAGAAACGCTTGGTGAGTGGGGACTTGCCCCCCATTTCCCTGGGGTCCCCCCGGACCCCCTGCCACGCCCATGACATCCCCCCGCTCCAGCCTCCCCCGACGCGTTCCGCTCCCGTGAGACCCCCCCCGGCCCAGCCTCCCCGACGCCCCCTTCCCCTTCCCCTCCCGTGAGACCCCCCTCCGACCCAGCCTGCCCCCTTCCCCTCCCGTGAGACCCCCCCCGGCCCAGCCTCCCCGACGCCCCCTTCCCCTTCCCCTCCCATGAGACCCCCCTCCAACCCAGCCTCCCCCGACGCCCCCTTCCACTCCCGTGAGACCCCCCCCGGCCCAGCCTCCCCCGACGCCCCCTTCCCCTTCCCCTCCCGTGAGACCCCCCTCCGACCCAGCCTGCCCCCTTCCCCTCCTGTGAGACCCCCCTCCTGCCCAGCCTCCCCGACACCCCCTTCCCCTTCCCCTCCCGTGAGACCCCCCTCCGACCCAGCCTGCCCCCTTCCCCTCCTGTGAGACCCCCCTCCTGCCCAGCCTCCCCGACGCCCCCTTCCCCTTCCCCTCCCATGAGACCCCCCTCCAACCCAGCCTCCCCCGACGCCCCCTTCCACTCCCGTGAGACCCCCCCTCCGACCCAGCCTCCCCCCGACCCCCCCCTTCCCCTCCCGTGAGACCCCCGTCCGACCCAGCCTGCCCCCTTCCCCTCCCGTGAGACCCCCCTCCGACCCAGCCTCCCCCCGACCCCCCCCTTCCCCTCCCGTGAGACCCCCGTCCGACCCAGCCTGCCCCCTTCCCCTCCCGTGAGACCCCCTCCGACCCAGCCTCCCCGACGCCCCCTTCCCCTCCCGTGAGACCCCCCCGGCCCAGCGTCCCCGACGCCCCCTTCCCCCTTCCCCTCCTGTGAGACCCCCCTCCGACCCAGCCTGCCCCCTTCCCCTCCTGTGAGACCCCCCTCCTGCCCAGCCTCCCCGACACCCCCTTCCCCTTCCCCTCCCGTGAGACCCCCCTCCGACCCAGCCTGCCCCCTTCCCCTCCCGTGAGACCCCCCTCCTGCCCAGCCTCCCCGACACCCCCTTCCCCTTCCCCTCCCGTGAGACCCCCCTCCAGCCCAGCCTCCCCCGACCCCCCCTTCCCCTCCCGTGAGACCCCCGTCCGACCCAGCCTGCCCCCTTCCCCTCCCGTGAGACCCCCCTCCGACCCAGCCTCCCCCGATCCCCCCCTTCCCCTCCCGTGAGACCCCCGTCCGACCCAGCCTGCCCCCTTCCCCTCCCGTGAGACCCCCCTCCGACCCAGCCTCCCCGACGCCCCCTTCCCCTCCCGTGAGACCCCCCCGGCCCAGCCTCCCCGACGCCCCCTTCCCCTTCCCCTCCCGTGAGACCCCCCTCCGACCCAGCCTGCCCCCTTCCCCTCCCGTGAGACCCCCCTCCTGCCCAGCCTCCCCGACACCCCCTTCCCCTTCCCCTCCCATGAGACCCCCCCCGGCCCAGCCTGCCCCCTTCCCCTTCCCCTCCCGTGATACCCCCCTCCAACCCAGCCACCCCCGACGCCCCCTTCCCCTCCCGTGAGACCCCCGTCCGACCCAGCCTGCCCCCTTCCCCTCCCGTGAGACCCCCCTCCGACCCAGCCTGCCCCCTTCCCCTCCCGTGAGACCCCTCCATGCCCTGGGCGCGGGTGCCAGACTGGTGTCCCCCGCGCCTGCCCACCCCCCGCTCCCCGTCTCTCCCCCAGATCGTCAGCAAACGAGCGGGCACCCAGTGCAGCAACTGCCAGACGAGCACCACCACCCTGTGGCGACGCAATGCCGGCGGGGAGCCCGTCTGCAACGCCTGCGGCCTCTACTACAAACTGCACAATGTGAGCCGGACGCCGGGGTTCTCTGCCCGGCTCTGGGGGGGACCGGGGTCTGGCGGTTAGAGCGGGGGGATCCAGGACTCCTGGGTTCTCTGCCCGGCTCTGGGGGGGACCGGGGTCTGGCGGTTAGAGCGGGGGGGATCCAGGACTCCTGGGTTCTCTGCCCGGCTCCGGGAGGGGAGTGGGGTCTGGCGGTTAGAGCGGGGGGGATCCAGGACTCCTGGGTTCTCTGCCCAGCTCTGGGGGGGACCGGGGTCTGGCGGTTAGAGCGGGGGGGATCCAGGACTCCTGGGTTCTCTGCCCGGCTCCGGGAGGGGAGTGGGGTCTGGCGGTTAGAGCAGGGGGGGCTGGGAGCCAGGACTCCTGGGTTCTCTCCCCAGCTCTGGGAGGGGAGGGGGTCTATTGGTTAGTGTGGAGGTTGCGGGGACCCCGGATGCCTGGGTGCCATCCCTCTCCCCTTCCCCTCTGCAGGTGAATCGCCCCCTGACGATGCGGAAAGACGGCATCCAGACCCGCAACCGCAAAGTCTCCGGCAAGGGCAAGAAACGCCGGGGGGTGGGTCCGGGCGAGGGGGGGGCTGGGCTCCCCGCCCCGCTCGAACTGCTCTCCCCCCTGGCCGAGGACCCCGGCTCCCTCTATGCCCTGAGCCCCATGGTCCTGTCCAGCCACCTGCTCCCCTACTCCCCCTCCACCCACCACCTCCTCGGCCCCTCCCCAGCCGCCTACCATCCCCCCCACGCCTCCCCGGGGGCAGGCGCCTCGCTGGGGTGATAGGTGGCCCCTCGCAGAAGGAGGCAGAGCTGGAACAAGGGGGAAGCCGGGGAGACATTGGGGTACAGCTGTTTGGGGGGGTCGCCCCCCCAGCCACGGAGTTGGGGAATGGGCTGGAGGGGGCAGAGTGTTGGGGTACAGGGGGAGTCTCACCTCAGCAACCGCAAGGATTGGGGGGTCTCTCCTTAGAAATGGGCCCACCCCCACACAGGCCTCCCTGAGTCCATCCCCCTACCATTTGTCCATCCCTACACCACCCCATCCATTTCCCCCCCCATACCCTTCCGTCTGTCCATGCCTCCCCCATCCGTCCATCTGTCCCTCCCTCCATCCACCCGGCTGCTTTCGAAGGAAAGACCCTCTCATTTCTACCCTCCCCTGTGCCTGGATTTCCCCTTCAGCCCCCCCGAATCCTCACACTGGGAGCTTCCCCCCATTCTTCCTCCTACACCCTCTCAACCCTTCACCCCTTGTGTCCCCCCAATGAACCCATCTCCCCCATGATCCAGCACTAGCTGTGATAGGACCCCCCCCTTTTTACTCACCCTTCTGGCACCCTGATATATTGTGGGTTAAAAAATATATTATATGGAAACCACATTTTAAAATATATTCTATATTTCTTGTAATGACTTGGGTGTCATGCGTTTCAATGCCTCCGGGGTGAAGTTGGGGGTTCAGTTTGGGGGTGCAGGGTTGTCCTTCCAGAAACAGCCCCAAATTAGCGCAGCTGGGGGGAACACTGTAGGTTGGGAGGGGGCTGGATTGGTGTTTAACTATTGGGGTGCATGCTCCAGTTTTGGGGGGATCATCTTAGTCTAGATACACCCCAAAGCCTATGCCACTGTTTTTGAGCAGCATGGATGGGTGGGGGGCTCTGACTGGGGGGCTGGTTAGCTGTTCAACTACTGGGGTGCATAGTTCAATTTTGGGGGTGTCAGCTTGTTCTACCTGCACCCCCAACTCAGCTGGTTTTGAGTACCATGAGGGGCTGCAGGGGGCTATAGCTTGGGGGGATGGATTAGTGTTCAGCTATTGAGGTGCATGCTCCAGTTTGGGGGTGTCCTCACTTATTGGGGTGCTCTGTGGGGTTTCAGGGGGTCTCTGTGGAAGGTTTGGGATGAATCTAGGAGGTTGCTCACCCCCCCCCCGGTAGAGAGCAAAAATTGGGGGTCCTCTTGCTTTTGCTCCCGAAAACTCAGAGATGGGGGGATGCAAGGAAGGTGAATGTGGGGGTTGGGGTGTGGGAATTTGAGGGAGACGGCGGTGGGTATGTGTCAGGATGGATCCAATTTTATGGGATGTTTTATTCCCTCCCCCGCAAAGTATTGTTTTGTGTAAAGAAAACGGGATGGTTGGGGAAGTGGGGGCTAGTGGATTAGAGCCGGGGGTGGCTGGGAGCCAGGACTCCTGGGTTCTCTCCCTGGCTCCAGGAGGGGAGGGGTCTGGGAGCCAGGAGTCCCATCCCACCTATCAGCCCCATCTCTGTCTCTCCCTGAATCTCTCTCTCGATCAAAAAGGGCAGGAAGGGGTTTATCTGCCCCATTTGGCCAGGGCCCAGGGGGAGCTAGGGGGAGAGATGGGGCCCCCCAGTTAAGGACTGGCCAGGCGGGGAGCTGGGAACAGGATTTCAAAGGGACCTGAATGCGGAGGAGGGGCAGGGCTGGGAACTGGAGATGGGGCCCAATCCTGGATGCTGCACCAGGTAGTGCGCTGGGCTGGGGCCCTCCCCCTGGGGGCAGCAGGGACACACTGCGGTCACTGGTCCGGGCTATTTATCCCAGTCCCACTGCTACTTCAGGGCAGGCCCAGCGCCACCTGCTGGTGCAAAGCCCTCGCTGCTTCATCCCTGGGTGGTGTTATGTGCGGCTGTTCCCCAGCTGCCCTGCCCCAGAAGTGGCTGCATCTCGGCCTCGGGGGAGCCATCCCTGTGTACTACACCATGTGATGCTACACCAGGGGGCAAGGCTGAGGAGGTCAAAGGAGAACCAAGGTCGGGGTGAAAGGTCTCTGGAGCAAGTTGGGGGAGGGGGTCGAGTTAAAGGTCACAGGGTGAGAGGTCATGGGGGGATTCCCCCAAAGACCTGGCCCATGAAGACAGGGGGGATTTTTCCTCCAATACCCCCCTCCCTATGCCAATGGTTTCTCCCAGACCCCCCCATGCTCCAATGGTCTCTCCCAGCATTCCCTGACATTCAGTGTGAATGGTTTCTCCCAGGCCCCGCCAATTTCAGAGCGAATGGTCTCTACCAACCCCCCCATGCTCCGTGCCAATGGTCTCTCCCAGTAGGGAGGGGGGCAGGCCTGAGTGACAGCATCAGGCAGCGCCTGGCTGGAAGAGACCATCTGACCGCGCCGGAGGGGGGAGGTGCCGCAGGAGCCAGGTGAGATGGTGCCCCTCACTCCCGACCTGCAGCCCCCCCCGCCGGTGCCCCGCCGCCCCCCCTCGCCCCGCCCCGCCCCCCTCCGCCGGTGCCCCCCACTCCCGCCTCGCCCCGGCCCCGGCCCCGCCCGGCCCTGGCCGCGGGGTTCGGGGCCGGCTCTGACCCGGCTCTAAGGCTCTTTGCCCCCCCAGACCTGCCCAGCGATGGCGGCGCCCCCAGGGGTCTCCCCGGGGGAGCAAGGACCCAGCTCCCCCCGCCCAGGGGTGAAGTAACCCCCCCCAGCACACGTGGCCATGGTGAGTCCGCCTGGGGGCGGGGCTTGAGGGAGGGGCGGGGCTCTTGTCCATGGGGCTGGGCCCTGAGTGGGCGTGGCCCGCGGCTGTGGGGCGGGGGGGGCGTTTCACGGAGGGAGAGGGGGGCATGCCTGGCAGCGGCCAAGCGGTGGGGGCTGGGGGCTCTTCTCCAAGTGGGGTTTTGGGGGGGGCGGGCGGGGGCAGGGCTCTGGTCCGGGGGGGCTGGGGGGGGGATTTGGTCCGGGGGCGGGGCTCTTGTCTGTGGGGGGGCTGGGGATATCTGAGTGTGTAACTCCCCACCTTTTTTCCCCCTCTCTGCCCCATGCGCTCCTCCCAGAAGCGGGGAGGCCGGAAGGGCCCCCCGCCCCGTCGCAGCCCTGGGCTCCCCGAAACCAAGCGCCGCGGCCGAGCCCAGAGGATGAACAAAGAGGCGGAGGAGCTGGAATCGGGGCTGCGGCGCCTGGTAGGTGGGGCACCCGGACACCTGGGTTCTGTCCCTGGGTCTGGGAGGGGAGTGGGGTCTAGTGGGTTAGAGCAGGGGGACTGGGACTCAGGACTCCTGGGTTCTCTCCCCGGCTCTGGGAGGGGAGGAGGGTCTGGTGGATCTGGGTGAGAAGTGCCAGGGGGTGGGTGCCCAGATACCTGGGTTCACTGTGTTTTCTCCTGCCCCAGGATCTGAGCGTGCCGGCGGCGGTGCCCGTGGGGACGGGTCTGGCCTTTGACGAGCGGCTCACTGGCTTCCATTGCCTGTGGGATGACAGGTACTTGGGGGGCGGGTCCCAGATCCCCCTGGTCTGGGTTGAATTGGCCTCCCCTCCGGGGGCAGATCCCGAAAACCCTGTGGGAGCCACAGCCTGGCCCCCAGAATGCCCCGTCTCAATCTATGGGCCTCATCCTTCCTGCTCGTCAGTAATCGCCTCGCCGCCCTTTCTCCTCGCCCGCCCCCTTTCTCTGGAATTGCCTCGCCGTCCTTAATCCTAATCTCATGTCAAGGTTCCTGCCCCACTGTGAACTCTCGGGTACAGATTTGGGGACCTGCATGAAAACCTCCTAAATTTACTTTCACCGGTTTAGGTTAAAACTTCCCCAAGGTACAAACTATTTTACCTTTTGTCCCTGGACCTTATTGCTGCCACCACCAAGCGTCTAACTGGGATATAATTTGGAAAGAGCCCATTTGGAAACGTCTTTCCCCCCAAATCCTCCCAAACGCTACACTCCCTTTCCTGGGGAAGGCTTGATAAAAATCGTCATCCATTTGCATAGGTGAACACAGACCCAAACCCTTGGATCTTAGAAACAATGAAAAAGCAATCAGGTTCTTTAAAAGAAGAATTTTAATAAAGTAAAAAGAATCACCTCTGTAAAATCAGGATGGTAAAGGATAATTAGATTCCAAACATAGAGAATTCCTCTAGGCAAAACCTTCAGTTACGAAAAGACACAAAGACAGGAATCTCCATTCCATTCAGCACAGTTTATTTCCTCAGCCATTTAAACAAACAGAATCTAACGCATAGCTTGCTAGATGACTGACTAAGTCCTAAGACTCCATTCCTGTTCTGTCCCCGGCAAAAGCATCACCCAGACAGAGGGAGAGAGAGGGGGGCTTTGTTTCTCCCTCCCCCCAGCTTTTGAAAGTATCTTGTCTCTTCATTGGTCATTGTGGTCAGGTGCCAGCGAGGTTATCTGGGCTTCTTTACCCTTTACAGGTGAAAGGGTTTTTTCTCTGGCCAGGAGGAATTTTAAAGGTGTTTACCCTTTCCTTTATATTTATGACGGCCCCTTTCTCTGTAATCGCCTCGCCGTCCTTAATCCTAATCCGCCCCTTTCTCTGTAATCACCTTGCTGTCCTTAATCCTAATCCGCCCCTTTCTCTGTAATCGTCTTGCCGTCCTTAATCCTAATCTGCCTCTTTCTCTGTAATCGCCTCGCCGTCCTTACTCCTAACCTGGGGCGTTAAAATCCTAATTGGAGAATCATAACCACCCCCCCACCCACAGGCCTGCCAGTGCCCCTCACTCCCGACCCGCAGCCCCCTGCCCCAATCCATCTTCTCCTCGTTTCATTCCCAGCTTCCCCGAGCGCCCGGAGAGACTCGCGGCTGTCCAGGGAAAGTTGCTGCAGTGCGGCCTGTGGGAGCGCTGTGTCCTGGTGGAGGTGAGAGACGGGGGAGGGGCTGGGCGCCAGGACTCCTGGGTTCCATCCCCAGTAGTGGGCTCCTTTCCCCGTGGGCGGGAGGGGTCAGAGACCAGCAGCTTCTACCCTCCCCCGCAGTCTCCACTTTAGTGGTTTGCGGGTTCCGGCTACAATTCTTTCCTTTCTTCACAGGCCCGGCTGGCTACCGAGGAAGAGATTCTGCTAGCCCACAGGTATTTATGGAAGAGAGGACCCTGGGGCTGCGGGTCAAGAGTGAGGGGCACTGGTGGGGCTGCAGGGCGGGAGTGAGGGGCGCAGGTGGGGCGGGAGTGAGGGGCAGGGCTGGGGGGCGGGGCAGCGGGGCGGGAGTGAGGGGCACAGGCGGGGCGGGAGTGAGGGGCAGGGCTGGGGGGCGGGAGTGACGGGTGCGGGCAGGGCGGGAGTGAGGGGCACCGGCAGGGCTGGGGCGTGGGGCGGCGGGTTGGGAGTGAGGGGTGCGGGCGGGGCGGGAGTGAGGGGCACCGGCAGGGCTGGGGCGTGGGGCGGCGGGTCGGGAGTGAGGGGTGCGGGCGGGGCTGGGGGGTGGGGTGGCGGGTCGGGAGTGAGGGGAGCGGGCGGGGCTGGGGGGCGGGACAGCGGGGCAGGAGTGAGGAGCTCTCTCTCAGCCAGGAGTACGTGGAACTGATGAAGTCAACCGAGCAGATGAGCGAGCAGGAGCTCAGGGCCCTGTCGGAGACCTACGACTCCGTCTTCCTGCACCCGGTGAGCACCCGCTGGCCAGTGAGGCGGGGCCCGGACGCCAGGGTTCTCTCCCTG